ATAACGCAAACGTTCTTGGACGATAGCAAGTAAGTTATCATCATAAAGTCGTCAATTCTAAAACTGGTTGGATATGCAGCCCTACTCTTTCCTTTCCTAAGCTAATTTTCGCATTTCCGCAAAACTGAAACAACCTACCTCCTCAGTAGTAATCTAATTTAGGTCTACCTCTACTACTCTTAACTCCTGTTTCTGACTCTAATATATCTTTGACTAGACCTTCATACCTGAGAAGATATCCTACCAACCTATCTTGCTTATTTCTTATTGACTTCCATAGAGTCCTTTGTTCTATTCTTTCTACTACCTCTTCATTTATAACCTTCTCTATACACGGTATCCTCATCATTTGCCTGTAATACCACATTTCGAACACTTCTAACCTTTTCTTTTCTGCCGCGCTCACCGTTCATGTTTCGCTCCCGTACAGCGCCGTGTCCTAAACATACACCTTTAAAAATCATTTTTGAATTTCTAAATTAACAGTTCGCGAGCATAGAAGTGACTTCTTTTTATTGAAGGCGACTCGACCCTGCGCTATCCTCTGCTTTATATCCCTACTACTTCCGTCCTGACTTATTTGACTTTCTAGATATCTAAAATCAGCCACTTCTTCTAATGTTTCGTCTCCTATTTTTATATTCGCTCATTTCCTACTTTTTCTTCCCTTGCATATCAGTATTTTTGTTTTATTTTTAGATATTTTTTTCATACAATATGTACTTGTTATTTGTCAATACCGCTACCATTTTATTTAAAGCTATCACTAACTTCTTGCTGGATGCTAATACCGCTATATCATTTGTAAAGTTAAGCATACTAATCTTTTGGCCCTCTATATCTATTTATTAATTATTCGTTTTTACAATAAACAGGTGTAAACACAAAAAACAAAACGAACAAAAAAAGTATGTTTGGGCAGAATTTTGGAAGTGGAGACCCTCATGATAACTTATTAAACAACTTGCATAAGACTAATGATAATTCAAATACAAATGAAAACATCATACTTTCCGATACAAATTCGGCTAGGTCTGATAAAGACCAAATTAACAAAACCAAACATCACACTTCAAGTAAGTTACACCCAAAAAAACTGTTTAGATAAAAGTTATACCATATTACAACAATAAAGATACAAATAGGTTTTCATTAAACTTTTTTATTATTTAACGTTCGATTATGAAGTTGCAACAACTAACGCTTACTGCTATTAATTATTTGTCTTTAAAATAAACAGATTCGAACACAAAAAAGGAATCAAGCAAAAGAAGTATCTTTGAGCAGAATTTTGGAAGTGAAGCCCCTCGCGATAACTTATTAAACAACTTGCATAAGACTAATGGAAATTCAAATAGAAATGAAAACATCATACTTTCCGATTTAGATTCCCCAACTTCCGGCAAAGACCAAATCAGTAAAACCAGACATCACACTTCAAGTAAGTTCGCCCTAAAAAAACTGTTTAGATGAAAGCTATACCATATTACAAACAAAAAGTACAAATAGGTTTTCGTTGAACTTTTTCCTTTTTTATTTAATGTTTGATTATGAAATTTCAACAAGTAACGCCTACTACTATTAATTATTTGTTTTTACAATAAACAGATTTAAACACAAAAAAGGAATCAAGGAAAAGAAGTAACTTTGAGCAGAACTTTGGAAATGAAGTCCCACATGATAACTTATTAAACAACTTGCATAATACTAATGAAAATTCAAATAGAAATGAAAACATCATACTTTCCGATTTAGATTCCCCAACTTCCGGCAAAGACCAAATGAACAAAACCAGAGAACAACGTCACAGTTCAAGTAGGTTGCGCCCTAAAAAGTTGTTTAGTTTAGATGGAAAGGAAAATGAAGGACCATCTGATGAAATAAGTAAGACTCAGACTACTCCACACAACAAAGTAATTAATGAATTTGTTCAACCAAGCATAATTGTTGAGGAATATTCAAACAAAAGCAACAATTTAGAAGTAAATTTAAAAGAAACAGATGTAGATACTTTAATTAATAGCAATAACAAAATTGGAAATACTAAATTAGGGAGAAATAGGAGTACTCGAAGTGGAGATGTCAGGACAATTAGAAAATCTACTAGGAAAAAATTAGAAATCGTAGAAAAAGATCACCTTGTAAAAACATCTAAAAAGAAAAACATAGAAACTTTAAACGATAATATTGAGCAGATTGAAAAAATTCATAAAACCAGAACATCAATTACAACAGGATCCCAAAAGAATAATACAAATACAATTGTAAAAAAGCACGTCATACATAACAAAAAGTCTTTTTCCCAAGAGTTGCCGGAAGTAAGAAAAAATAAAACTGTTAAACAAAAATCAAAAAAAGAAAGAAACGAAAAAGAAAATATAAATCCTAAAATGGAAAAATCAGAACGAGTTAATAAAAGTACTTCAACAAGTAGAATAAAAAACAAATATGCTAAGGTACTCCATGATTTACTTCAACAACGTGAAAATGCTGGACAATGTAAGCAACACACTAATCTATTATATCTAAATTCTATAAAATAATAAACTATATTTTTTCAGATTACACTAATACATCAACCATATCTACAATAAATGAGGATCAGACGTCAGGTTTGTTGCATATTTTTTACCTTACTTGATTTGAACTAATTTTTGTTTTTCTAGGAAGCTGTAGGCCTTCCAGAACTCGCAAACAAACCAAGGCATTCAGTTTAGAAACGTTAATCATTACTGAAAAAGAATTTTTATCATGTAAGTGTGAATAATTCCTAGTTATTACATTTTAAAGGATAACTTTAAGTACTTTTTATTTAAGATTGTGGCATGAGGCTCAAAGGAAGTACTCACAGCAATCGTAGTAAAAAATCTGTAGTGAACCCTTCAGACCATCTTCAAAAATCTCAATTTAAAATGCCTGTAGCACCACCCCCCACTTCAAAAAAAAAATCAAGAAAGAAGAATTCAGAAAATTTAATCCAGTCTAATTTACCAGATTCTGGTAACTTTACTATGATAGGCACCTCAAGTAGATCTACTGCCGACAATAATATAGAGGTTTTACAAGATAACATGCAGGCCAATTTGGGATTAGAAAATGACATCTTTTTGCCTCCTATTACCGAAGAAAATAATGAAGTTATAACCGATTTTAAAAATAATGACAATACTCTGCAAAATACGAGTACAGCACGTTACAATTTAAGAAATAAAAGTTCTGAAATGCACCAAGTACTGTCCCAATCTAAGAATAACAGCCAAAAGAAAATGAGTGACGACAATGCAGAACAAACTATGGTTGATACAAATCGAAATAAAATGAAAAATAATGCAAAAAAAGGTAAACTGTTACAGAAAGCGAAAACCGATCACTTAAATGCAATTGACGGAAATTCTACGACTTTCCAAACACACGACAACTGCAATATTGATGAAATCACCCATAACGTAAATGAAACTCCGCGAGAATTACGGTCACGTAGAAAAAGCATTAGAAATACAGAAAAACGACAATTAAATGATGTTTCTATAGAAGAAAAACACAAAGGCATTGGTCATGAAATTAAAATCTTAAGAACAACAATATGTGAAAAAATTATCGATAAGGAGGATTCGACCAACCAATCTTTTACTACGTTACCGACCAGTGAAAACTATTACGAATTAAATGACGTTTGCTATGTGATTAATAATCGTGCAGTAAAGGCGGGTAAGTAGTCAAAGTAATATGCCAGAAACTACAAAATTTTATATTACAACTTTAAGAAAGTTTACCTTTCAGAGGGGCAAAAACAGTTTAAAACTAAATTAAACTTATTAACCTGTTACAACTAATTAAATGTAGGTAATTATAATGCATACAAATATTCTTTGTAGCTTGGTGCCAAAAGAAACCTGAATTAACTCCTGTGATAGGACAACAGGGTCTTTATGTGGGTTATTCCGAATCCAATCGAAACTTAGGATTTTGTACTTGTTCGACCGGTTTGATGCAAATTGACCCGAACTGCTTCAAAAAGCAATGCTACTTTAAAACAAGTCATGCGGTAATTTTTTTACATCATTATCCATAAAAACACTTAAACTTTTTTTTTCAGTTCTACTTTGTAATTGGAGGTGAAGCTGTGGTTACACTTGGTCAGCGAAAAATGCATGTACACATTGGAGAATCATTTTTTATACCGTTAGGTAAGCTTAATAAAATTATTAACCTGTACATTTGCATTACTTTGCAAAATTAATTTTACTGCTTAAATTGCTTATAAACCAATGATTTATTAGAAAGTTAAAATGGTATGTAAATATATAAGAAATAATTGTTTTTAGGGCAAGACTACAGCATTACCAATCCAAGTGATACTGAAAAATTGCTTTTATCATTTACTAATATCAAAGCTCCGAAATTGCATACGTGACTTTAAGTACAATTAATGACATATATACGTATATAATTTATTTGTAAGAATATTTTTTTGTAGCTTGTCCTGATAATATTAAGTACGATAATTTTTTAGTTGTATTTTGTGCATGTAATTAAGGAAACGAAAAGAATAATAGGTTCATTCCAATTGCGTGTATTATTTTGATTATTATTATTATTGCAGAAAGCGTGCACCTCAACTAGTAATATTACAATAATACGCTATACGAATTCACCAAAAAAATAATGAGTTACAATTTCTCTAAATATATTTTAAAAAAATAAGTAATAAAAAAGCATGCAAACCTTTTAATTGAGAGCAGTTGAAGTCAGTAAGGCGACTCCCCTCTCGTAAAAGCTATGAGGATCTTGTCCAGCAGCAATGTTTAAGTCAACTGTGAAAAGCAGTTCAGTACGGGTGGAGTTTAAGTACACTGGGAGGGCTAGACGGTCGCAAGATACTTTTTCGTCACCTACGACCCTTACCCATCGTAAGAGCGTGAGAGGGAGCTCTATCATAATGCTGGAGGTCAATAGAAGCTGATTATTACGGCATTGGGCACCCTGAAGTTTTATGCCTGAAAAAAAAAATGATGAAAACTTAATTCAATTAGCTTGCATTTTAATAAAGTACCTGTAACGGCAAAACAATCACTCGGAACATTTTTCTTTTCGCTTGAGGAGTCGGTGATGGTTACGTCCAATTGCAATTCTTCAAGAGGCCAGCTGTTTGCTTGGGCGACACACTGTCTTGTAGCAGTTATATAAGCTTCTGGATTCAAAAGGCCACCCAGCCAAACCGGGAAACCCTGCAAATTAATAAGTATTTATATATATGTAAATTCAAACGATAAAACAGGAGCCTTTCTTAACAAAGTTTATGGTTTGGTTAAAATGAAACAATACTATACGAATATTCAACAACATTAGCAAATGAAACATATAACAGTTCATGTATTTTTTTGTGCACTATTTATTAATAAACACTTTTTTCTAATTTTTTTTGTATTAAAAATTTTTATTACCTGTAATTCTTTAGCGCCAACGGTAGAAACGACCTGTGACACTTGCTGTAGCTGTTTCACCCTATGGCTAAAGTCCGTTACCCACTGGATCACTGTACAACCCCGCGGTACGGTGTAACGCCGCCAGTTTTCGGGAATGATACCTCTAACCAATTCAGAAAGCATCGTTCGGTGGTAATTTGTTTGTTTTTTCTCACCCTTTGAAAATTAATAATACAAATTAATGTTTTGCCTTCTAGCTAACTTATTAATACGAACTTGACAAATTAATACGACATCGTTCAAATCGTGTATAACGTCCTGTAACAGTTTTGCACCACATGTAACTTCCCTTTCGAAGTAACGGTAGAGGGGATCTTTGATATTTTCAACTGTTCTCCTCAGTGTCTAAAATGTCGATAAATTTTATAGTGGGATGTAGTAATAAACGACTTAACAGTAAAAAAAGGGAAGATGTTACCTGTAACGATTTTGGTAACAACTGCAGCCAAGTTACTGCGGAATTGTGCAGAGTCTTCATCCAAGAAGGCCTTCCATCAATTTGGGTTGGACCAGTAGGTGATGCGTCGTCGGTATAGGCCAGTTCATCATCATCCTCGAGTTGTTGCATTTTTAACAATTTACTAATCAGATCCGTTCCACGATTAGTTAGCAAAACCTACATAATTCATAACAAGTATTTAGCAACCATTTAAGTTAATTCTTAATTTTTCTGCAGCAGCCAAGGATTCAAATACATGATGTTAAATATTTTACTAACATAATAGTTTTTCTTACTTTTTCAGCATTGTTGGGTAATCCGAGCCAAGATGGCGTCTGTCTATCGGCCAATGTTTCAATCCATTTCAAGAAATGATCTCTGCGAGTACCATCAGGCATTATGATATGTCTGGTACCTCCCGGACCGCCATCCACATTCGCCACTAGCGCGAAGTCCGCTTCGAAGCTGCGGGGTGTGAACAATTTCAACAGAAATGAGTGCAGAAGCCTCTGGTCGAAGTCATTGTCAATCTTCCCACCATAAATCGACTGCGACAATAGAGTGACAAGCGCATCCCACGGGACTTTTTCTGGGGGCAAATTTGTACGTCCCTGAAAAATCAATTAATTAATGCGCGGTCATGATCGATCCTTGTACAGATAATTTTTTACCATAGCTGTAGCTTCAATCCAGAGATCTAATGTATCGCAAGCAACTCGTAAATCGGATTCGTTAAATTCATAATATTTAGCCCAACCTAACGGTACATAACGCAAACGTTCTTGGACGATAGCATGGAACCAAGCCAATAAGAAGTAAAGTCTTGCTCTTTCGTTCGGGGCTTTCATCATTCTGCTAGCTGGAACCTAAAGAAACAAAGAAAACGAACTTTATATTTTACAAGTATTGTTTGTTTAATTAAATATTTACCGTGCTGAATGTTCTCAAAAGGTTAGCTCGGATACCAGGTGGTGGTTCAAAGACGAATATACGTCCAGCTCGTAAAAGGTTCACGGGTAATTTCGGATTTATTTCCATTGTTAGGAACAGTCTGAAGCTGGAATGTGGTTGAAGGGAATGGAGTTTCTTCTCAAGCTGTACTAACCATTGAGGAGCCAGATGGACGTTTTTCAACATAACCCATCTACAAAATTATTACTGTACTTTTAACATAATTTAACTAACCGTAAGTATTTATCCATATGGGCAAAAAGATCGCCTTTTCGAAATGATAACTACCATGCACACTCATTTCGAAACTCTACTACACATTTTTAATTACTATAATACTAAATACAATTTAATAAATAAATTAATAAGAAGACAATGACAAGTATTGTTTGATAAATAATACATATGTAAAATACTTTAGGACTTACCTTCCCGTTTTGCATGCCATATTAATCGCCCGCTCAGCTTGATTAAATCCTTCCGCTGAACCAATCGCAATACTCGAAATTTGCTTATTAAGTTCAGCGGCTAGATCGTCGACACGTCCAGACGCGTCAAATCCGGGCACAGAACAGAGTAGGGCTGGTGTACTCGCTCGTAGCTCTTTCTCGACAACTTGAGCAAGATCGAGTTCCTTCTCGGCGCTAGGCATGAACTCTTCGCCCAACACAGCAGTTACGAACACATGTGCGGCTGCTATTACTCTGTCTGGACGGAATGCCTGAATAAGCAACAGCTGATACATGGCCGTACCGATCGGACTCAACGGCTTCTCTTCGCTCCAGAGACGAGGCACGTTCTGTTCGGGGGTGCTCTGCTGCAACCATGCGCCAAACTCTGGCATCTCATTGATCTTTTCCGGAAGCTTCTTGAATGGCAGCAACCTAAATTTGTATGTGCAAACGTATTAATGTAAATGCTTTTAAGTTTTTAGAAAAAATAAATATAGAAATTAACCTTGTGGAAAGACGTGCTAGTGCCTCTTGTTGTTCATGGGTCAATCCGTCGATTTGGTGAACGCTGGAAGTATTGATAACACCCTCTTTACCTCTAAGGAAGAAATTAAACTCTTGATCTAGACTTGGTTCTGAAGCTATACCCTTCAGATGTATACGACACAGTAAAAGGGCAAATGTCAGCCTATCAGTATGAAGCATACCTCTTGCAACCCGTTCATAGCAAACCTGCATAAATAAAGAATACACAATTAATAAGCAAAATTAATGTTTAATTTCATTATTCCTATTTAAGTAATAGTTACATTGCAATATGATTTTATATTTGGAGTATGTTACTATGATGTACAATCAAATAACGATTGTTTACTTTAATGTATTGAATCAAATTGAATATTATTAATTAATTATGTTATACATTATCAGTTAAGCCTTATTGGATGTTTAATCTATCTAACTGTAAGTAGTATGGATTTTGCATCAACAGGCGAAACATCTCGGGCTACTAATCGTAATAACAATGTGTTAAAATAGTTATTGAAGTGAAGTCTATTCATATTTGGCAAAAGGTAGTTAATTGATTATTAGGCATTTTTTGTAGACGCTTAACAACTCTAATCAATTTATNGCTGGAATGTGGTTGAAGGGAATGGAGTTTCTTCTCAAGCTGTACTAACCATTGAGGAGCCAGATGGACGTTTTTCAACATAACCCATCTACAAAATTATTACTGTACTTTTAACATAATTTAACTAACCGTAAGTATTTATCCATATGGGCAAAAAGATCGCCTTTTCGAAATGATAACTACCATGCACACTCATTTCGAAACTCTACTACACATTTTTAATTACTATAATACTAAATACAATTTAATAAATAAATTAATAAGAAGACAATGACAAGTATTGTTTGATAAATAATACATATGTAAAATACTTTAGGACTTACCTTCCCGTTTTGCATGCCATATTAATCGCCCGCTCAGCTTGATTAAATCCTTCCGCTGAACCAATCGCAATACTCGAAATTTGCTTATTAAGTTCAGCGGCTAGATCGTCGACACGTCCAGACGCGTCAAATCCGGGCACAGAACAGAGTAGGGCTGGTGTACTCGCTCGTAGCTCTTTCTCGACAACTTGAGCAAGATCGAGTTCCTTCTCGGCGCTAGGCATGAACTCTTCGCCCAACACAGCAGTTACGAACACATGTGCGGCTGCTATTACTCTGTCTGGACGGAATGCCTGAATAAGCAACAGCTGATACATGGCCGTACCGATCGGACTCAACGGCTTCTCTTCGCTCCAGAGACGAGGCACGTTCTGTTCGGGGGTGCTCTGCTGCAACCATGCGCCAAACTCTGGCATCTCATTGATCTTTTCCGGAAGCTTCTTGAATGGCAGCAACCTAAATTTGTATGTGCAAACGTATTAATGTAAATGCTTTTAAGTTTTTAGAAAAAATAAATATAGAAATTAACCTTGTGGAAAGACGTGCTAGTGCCTCTTGTTGTTCATGGGTCAATCCGTCGATTTGGTGAACGCTGGAAGTATTGATAACACCCTCTTTACCTCTAAGGAAGAAATTAAACTCTTGATCTAGACTTGGTTCTGAAGCTATACCCTTCAGATGTATACGACACAGTAAAAGGGCAAATGTCAGCCTATCAGTATGAAGCATACCTCTTGCAACCCGTTCATAGCAAACCTGCATAAATAAAGAATACACAATTAATAAGCAAAATTAATGTTTAATTTCATTATTCCTATTTAAGTAATAGTTACATTGCAATATGATTTTATATTTGGAGTATGTTACTATGATGTACAATCAAATAACGATTGTTTACTTTAATGTATTGAATCAAATTGAATATTATTAATTAATTATGTTATACATTATCAGTTAAGCCTTATTGGATGTTTAATCTATCTAACTGTAAGTAGTATGGATTTTGCATCAACAGGCGAAACATCTCGGGCTACTAATCGTAATAACAATGTGTTAAAATAGTTATTGAAGTGAAGTCTATTCATATTTGGCAAAAGGTAGTTAATTGATTATTAGGCATTTTTTGTAGACGCTTAACAACTCTAATCAATTTATTATTAAGTTTATATATGTTTCCAAAAACCAAACACGGATTTATAAAGATGTCCAAATTTACTCACCGTAAACAAGTCGGCAATTATAACGTTCAGTCTAGCCTGGTAGTCCGTAATTCCTTCAAGATGTGGATTGCTTAGTAATACGTTACCAAACATACTAAGGAACATCTTCAGAGAGTACTGATAAAGGAAGTGTATTTGATTAAGGCTGTCCATAGTAAAGTACATGTTACTGCAAGCCTAAAAAGAAAACGTAAAACATGAAGCCAGCAATTTTAAACGGATTGATATAAAAAATTTTACCTGCGAGAGCGGCAAATATTGTTGCGAAACAGCTTCGATTTCAGAAATAACCTTATCCGTTTCTTCCACCTTTTTGCCAATTTCGGCTGCTTCCTGTTTCAACGTTTCTAAAGTAGTTATCACACTATCATCATCCAAAATTTTTCCTTTAGCGTCGTTTAGGGCTTGCAATAGGGACTTTTCTAGCTGTCTCAATCTTAAGTGGAATTCCCCTGAAAGAAAAGAGATGTTATGAGTAAAACTGTTAAAAAAAAAAAAGATAAAAATTACCTTGTAATTTCAAAAGATCAGATCGTTTTTCGTCAATATCCGGACGTTCGGCCTTGAGCACCTGGTTGAGACACTGGCTCTGCAAGGAGCTCCTGGTGACAGTAAAGTTCACAAATGTTACCCTGGAGCAGATATCGGGAGGAAACTCAACCGTTGGATCACGCGTCGAAAGGAAAATAACAAACGACGGTGATAAGTCTATGTCTTGGTCACCTAATGTGATAAGTACTCGTCCTCCCGTACGTCGCAGTTCTTTGTTTAGTACTGGGTTCAAAATCGGGTCGTAATTTTCCACGTCCTGAACTAATAACGGATTACCAAACCGGAGAGCAGATTCCAGATTTTTCCTGAAGGAATCATCGAGGAAACTGGTTTTTGTTATTTTCTTATCTTTGAATTCGTTCATAATGAATTCAGTCGCTTGACCGGATGGATCTATTATTAGTGGATACCGATTGAAACGCTAGAATTAAAAAGAAAGTACATTAGAATATAAAATAATTAGTTTTAAATTGTTTTTACGGTACCTTAAGCATAATAGCATTTTCGGTACAAAGGTCGTCTGAAGGCAGAGCATTTGCTTGCCATCGAAGACGTTCATCGGGATTCGAAAGGTACTCGGTACGTGCAATGTCCGGACGATACTGGATATTGGCTAGAGTCAAGTGCTGACACCAAGTGGAGAAAAGATTTTGCCGGTACTGGAATAAAAAGCGAATCATTCTTTTGTGTTCCGTTAAATATACAATACTATAATTTAAAACTAAATAATAATTAATATTCACGTTAAATTATGGATTACGCAATAAACTTTATAAGAATCACTTACATGTTGATCAAAGTAACCCCCGTATGCAATAAAGGCAGCTGACAAAAGCACATCGCCCACTATCGTAGACATTTGCGATCGGAAAGTTTCACTGGTGGCCTCCCACCGTTCCCGTTCGATGTTAAGAGACTTGAGCAATGCGATTGATCGATCAACTTTAGCCTGAACATTCTCAAGATCCGTCTTAATGGCCTGGGCTTGGGCGATGAGTTGCGCATACTCTTCCTTGTAAGAAGCAATGCTATGTTCCAATTGGGTAATCAAGTTCTTCACTTCCTCGCCGTGCTTTTTGTTCTCTTCGGCTTGTTTTTCAAGAGAATTGAGTTCTTCACGAAGTGGCTCAACCTTTTTTAACATATCCGCGTATTCGATCTAAAAAAAAGTAGTAAACCAATAAATAGTAAAAAACTAGTTTAACATTTATTTTACTCACTTGAGCGATAGCCCACTTGACTAATGGCCCGCACGCGTTACTGGCATGATTAACTTTTTCGAAGTTGTAATCAGGATTGCTCAAATATTTGCTCTTCATTCTTTCCCGAACTTCATCACTGTAACCAAAATTATACTTAAAAATAAAATTTAATTATGCATTTACATCAAAAAGTTTACCTTATATCTTCAGTGCTGAAATTTGACACTACAGTATTTATAAAGTTGTCTCTCATAATGACAGCACGAATTGATTTCCAATCGCTGGCATTCTCGCCAAGTAATAAGCAAATAGATTCTAATGCCAATTTTACGACAGCTGGAGGATTTGCCATCGTTCGAATTTCAACTAGTTGTTGTTTCTTGATTGATTTTACAGCTGAAAGAAAAAAAGTAAATTAACTAGGTATTTATTCAGATTTATAATTTTCGCTTAAGCATGACTGTGTACAACACTGACCTTGTTGAGCATCGATAACAGCCGGCTCCACTTGTGCCAAATCAGCCATTACTTCTTTTCTCTTCTGTTCAATGTGCACGGTCTGTTCGGCTAACTGTTGCTGTATTTCTTGACTTTGTACCTTTTTCTTCTCTGCTTCTTGTTGATCTTTAACCATTTGTTTCAATTTAGCGTTGGCGGCCTCGTTCTTAGCCTGCAACTCTTGTGATTTGACCGCCAAGCTCTTCTGCATTTCTTCGACTTGTTCGACAGTTTCAGCGATTTTACTTAGACCCACGTTTAGATGGAGCTGTTGTTCTTCAAGATCTGATCGTTTCTCGTTATGTAGTTTGACGAAATGATGGATGAAGTCGAGATAGTGACGTGGAGTAATCGCCATGGTTCTACTTCCCCGTTTTGCTAAACGAGCGTTTGCCTTGTGTAATGTCTGATGTACGTAGACACACGCGTTGATGACAGCGTCTCGATGGGCTGGACTTGTGGCAAGCATGTTGCAAACTGATGGGAAGAAATCAGGAGCCTTCCACATAGGTTTATCCAAGTCGAGACGATTGGTGAATTCTTTACCGACCTGAACAAAAAAAATTATGTATTTTGTGCATTGTTTCTAGTCAAATATGATTTAAAATTTTAGATTTTTAAAGCAAGAAATACGTATTCTGACCTGAAATAGGGCCCCATCAGACCAGTCTCCAAACCAATTTAAGACACATCTATTGAATAAAGCAGGTGAGGTAGCTGCCCTATCTTTAAGTCCATCTGTAGACGGATTCATGGTGAAAACAACGTGCAAATTCTTCATTACTTGTCCAGTGAACCACTTATACAACTCGTCGCTTGAGTCCAGCATCAAACCTATAGATAACAAACTTTACACTTCACAAATACTAATTTAAATACCAACACAATCAAATGAGTTAAACGTAGTTTTGTATGTTAGTTAAAATAAACTTACCTTCTCTTTGGGCACCTTCTTTACACTGGGTCATCAAAGTAGTGTATTCATCGCCTTCAAACAGTCCTGGTACTTCACCGTTTGCCAGAAGGGTGTTCATTCTTTCCAAAAAGCTGGAATCTAACATGTTTGATTCGTCTAAAATAAAAACAATCTTTTCGTCTTTGCAACCGGCCCTTCTCAGTACAGAACGCAAATCTTCGTCAAAATCTTCTGCAGTGTATTTGTTGTGAACCTAAAACAAAATATGGTTACATATCATACAATTTCAATTTTTGGTCATTTGTCAAATAACAGTAAAAAGGAAGAACTACATATAAGTTATATAACAACTAATATCTTACTTTTATTTGGAAAATGGAGAGACCATTCATCCAAGCGACGAACCTAGATAGGGTAGTTTTACCAGCACCCGAAACTCCAATGAGTAACAGGTGCCCTTGCGGTTGCCTGAATATACGATCGATCCTAAGAACGTGATCGAGCACCTCATCGAACAAAACCAGAGGTACATCGAGTTCTTCTTCATAGAAGACCTTAAGACGTGCCTTGACGTACTCGCGTAATTGTTCGCGTTCCACCGGGATGTAATTCTTCGACAACCAATTGCTGTACAGGATTGGTCTAGCTAAAGCATTTTCGCAATTGGCTGATGGGAAATGTTTCATAGCAACAGCGTCAATGTTCTCGTTAGTCCAATGACGTTCTGATTCTTCAACGAGCCGGTCTTGGAACAATCGAAGTGCCTCGTGCGCCCACAGACGAACTAGACCCTCGACAGGTAGATTATCTAACGGTCTGAAAACGAAGAATTTACAGTTTGCTAATATTGATTTTAAATTTAGTTTTACACCATTAAAAATAAACTGCGTCTAGACATTAATTTCTTATTATGCACTATATTAATTATTAAAACATCGTATGATTTTTCATACATAAAACAAAACCATTCTTACCGGATTGCTTCGCAAATTCCTCGGACCCAACGCGTCATCTCACGAGGGGAATAGACATAATGAGGTTGCATATCTTGGGTGAATCTATCTTGCGATGACAAATAGAATTCGACCATTGCATTGGTCAAAGGTTCAGCGTAACCTCGTAGTGCTGGTGCTAATCTTAACATGGCTCTGCTAAATGTACCATAAATCTGAAATTAAATGCACACCGGAATGAATAAAAATCTTAACATACAAATAGGTTATTTTATATTACCTGTTTGAGAGACGTTTCTCCTGGATAATCCACGTAAACTACCGGTACGTGTCGCAAAAATCTGTGAGAAAGCGGTTTCCTGCCAGGATCTGTAGGTGGGTTACAGGCACCCACAAACTGTATCCTTTCAAGATGCACCCATGTCTGGTCTGAGGCACGATAAAAACCTTTCTGTTCAACCAACTGTCTCAAAAACATTATGACACGTTGCGTGCCATAACTGTCCATATCAGGCAAGTTAATTTCGTCACAAAATATCACTAACCATTTTCCAAGCTAAAAGCGACGCAATAGTAAGAACCAGAATTCAACGAAACGCAAAAAATGTTTTATTCTTACTTGTACGGGAGACAAAATTACACCGTTAGGAGTTTTTCTGTATTCACAGTAATGGTCAAACGTTTTGAGTAATAATTCTGGCGTAGTTGCCGAAGAAAAATTAAGACCCACAACTTCCATGTCTGGCAGTGCTCGGAGGGCAGAAAACAGTGTCATGGTTTTACCAGAACCAGGAGGACCACATAAAACTGGAATAAAAAAGAAGACAAATATTTATAAGGAATTAATATTTTTATTAAGTATTGTATAATTTATTGTTTTACCGATGGGTTTGTGTTCGGCGAGCCAAGTGTACAATAGAGATTCGTGTCTGACAGTGTCCAATGTTGGTACGACCACGTCAGGTGCGGCAACTTTGTGAGTTTCAACTTCTATTTGCGGCACTTTATTAGACCAGGGAACCCATTCTCCGCTAAAAATTGAGCAATCAATTAAGCGATTAAACCTTCTTTAGTAATTAATGACTAACTTGATGTTGACTTCGTGATCGATAATATTGCCAGAAGGCAATTGGACTGTTGTTACGGAACGTATAAAATCGCCCAAATCTTGACGGGTTTTGAGCTTTGAATCTCCTGCAAAAGACCACAAAATCGCGTATATGAGGCACTTAGGAAAGTAACGTTCAAACTGCTCCGGAGGCAACGGGAAATCTGGATGGACATGATTGTATTGTAGTACGTTTCTGAAAATAAATACACAGTTCAGGGTTACAGCAAAAATTGCAATAATTTTGACGAAGAAACGTACCGAACGCTCTGGTTTAACATTGAAAAGAGGGAACTTAAGGCTCTTAAACGAGTAAAGTCCATTATGTGCTCTTGTTCCATAGCGTATTCCAAACAACGAACAACCATACCGTCGGGTGCCAGATACGGTTGCAAGATGCTAACCACGTCATGCTGAACCTATACAAAAGAACATTAAAAAAAATATTTAAATTATGTAAATAGGCGACATGCTTCTTAATACCTGCCTATTGTGATAATGCAATACCGACTAAAGTATTCTACACATACATTACTACTAGTAATTACTTTTTGTAATTATAAATCATTGCAGAGGAGGATGGAAAAAAGGGCGGAAGAACTATTAGCTTTAAATAAAATGGAAGCGGTACTGACAGATCAGTACTGTATGAAAATAAATAAAAGTAAAACTAAAATACTGATATGCAAGGGAAGAAAAAGTAGGGAAAGAGCGAATATAAAGATAGGAGACGAAAAATTAGAAGAAGTGGCTGATTTTAGATACCTAGGAAGTCAGATAAGTGAGGATGGAAGGAGTAGTAGGGATATAAAGCAGAGGATAGCGCAGGGTCGTGTCGCCTTTAATAAAAAGAAGTCACTTCTATGCTCGCGAACGGTTAATTTAGAAATTCGAAAAAGGTTGTTAAAGGTGTATGTTTGGAGCACGGCGTTGTACGGGTGCGAAACATGGACAGTGGGAGCGGCGGAAAAGAAAAGGTTAGAAGCGTTCGAAATGTGGTGTTATAGGCGGATGATGAGGATATCGTGGGTAGAAAAGGTTAGAAATGAAGAGGTATTGGAAAGAATAGGAGAACAGAGGACTCTATGGAAGTCAATAAAAAATAGGCGAGATAGGTTGGTAGGACACCTTCTCAGGCATGAAGGTCTAGTCAGAGACATATTAGAGGCAGAAACAGGAGTTAGGAGGGGTAGAGGTAGACCTAGATTAGATTACTGTTCGCAAATAGTTAAGGATGTGGGCTGTTCTAGTTTTAGGGAAATGCGAAGTTTGGCTCAGGATAGGAAAGAGTGGAGGTACGTGTCCAACCAGTCTTAGGACTGATGACCTTATGATGATGAAATCATTGCAGTCACACCTGATGCAAGATTATTAATATTTTTAAAAGATTACTAACTTGTAAAGTAGGTGATAACATATCCTCTTTGGAATCGCTCGTCTTCTTGCCAAAACCTTCATCATCACCTTCTTCGAGTGGAATATTTTTTAATCTTAACATGAAATTTTCGAAAATCATTTCGGTTGATAGAACATCCTCCGAAAACCAAACCATACCGCAACGAGATACCGTTGCCAGGGTTGCGTATTTCAGATCTTGCACCTCAAACATGACACGAACGTTCGGTGGTAGTGACAAACGCTCGCCGTTAGGTAACGTAAGAAGCTTGTTGTCGTCGAGGACCGAGTTCAAATTTTCCACCCATTCGGGGTCTACATCACCATCAAATATAATCCACTGACGTTTATTAATTTCGCCACGAACGTTATCAATTATTTTCCTAGAGAAAATTGAAATTATATTTATATTAATATTCTGTATTACTTATACAATCAACATTTTATTATTTTTTATTTCAACTTCCTAAAGGCTCCCTACTTGTTTCTTGTTAAAAATATAAAACAAAAACATGAAACAACGTCCAAACAAACAATACCATATAGTTCTCATATTCATCGTCTTTTTTTATTAGTTACCTTAAAATATGAGTAAAAAGACCGTCTGTCCACTCGCGAGTATTGGGATCCAAGACACCGTATAAAGCTTCCTTGCTGATGGCCTTCGGATCAATGACATGTGCAACACCTTCAATGCCTTCATATCTTTCTAAAGCTTTCAACAATACTCTCCATGCTGAACTTTTGCCTGAACCGCTGGGACCGACCATCATTAAACCATGGTTCAAATTGGAAATTTGGTATAGTTGTAGAACCTAATAAAATTAACCAATATTAGGGAAACAGAATGCTCACATACAATAATTCTTAGAAAAAAAGAATCCCTAAATTTTGTTAATAATTAACTCATGCTTTACTTATTTTATAACTGAACTGTATACTTTGTCTAAGTTAGGGTGACTAAAAAAAAAACCATTTTTTTCTTCTTATATCATTTCTTCCCTTATTCATTATAGCATCATCAAATCAAATTTAATTTACTTTGGGAAACTAACTAATGTAAGATCTTATAATACTTTATTAAGTATTATATTATTATACTCAATAAAGTATTATAAGATCCTTAAAATGAACATAATAAGAAAAAAACCGACACTAAAGATGCCCCACTCTCTCATCTACGTAGGTATTTTAAAACGGTCATTGTTCCTAAAATTTAGTGCTGGAGTTAGTTCGGCTCTCATCTTTTGTGATGAGAAATGTACAGCTTATACGGTTAAATACAAAAGGATCTCTTTTCGCGTTTTTTCTTTTCTATTTTTGTCAGAACTAAAATCTAGTTATGTTCGCTACAAAGGTTTCAGTCGCTAAATGGGGGCAGGGGAGTCAACTACGAACGCCACTGGTTTCTAATAAATGGAAAGTATTATTACTACCGTTTAAGATCTCATGCCATATTTTTTTTTGTTTGTAATATCAAAATATAAGTAATATTAATCTTCAAAAGATACATAGTATAATAAAAATTTTAACATTATTGCTACAGATGGTAATTAATGTGAAAAAAAGTATCTGGGAAATATCCCAGCATCTTATGCGTTCACCTTTAAATGTGTTGTAAATTCATGTAATAAAATATTAATAAGTCGCATACAATACTTATTCGTTCACTGACATAACGTTTTGCAATACCTTTTACAAATAAAAAGATAAATAGTTGCAGTAACGAATAATTTGAGACTGTTTGAAATAATTAAAAAAATGTAAATGACTGCGACAGTACCTTAGCCACCCACGTCTCTCCAACAAGAAAAGGCTTCTAGTAAGCATGAAAATAAAAGTGATGTAAAGGTGATAACTGGCCACTAGCGTCGTCACGTGAATAATAACAGAAGAATGACCAGAATGGTAACAATAAAAAAATATTACCTTTTCCATCCAAGCAGCGCCTTGCTCGTCGCCCTCGCCGCATACCATAAATTCTTCCTGGCAAACCTTTTTTATTTCATCCTTTAGATCTGGGAAAAATGTGTACATCAATTTTGATGGTCAGTAAATGAAACACTTGTAAAAATGACAACATAATGCACAATAACCTTTTTTTTATCTGAAAAATGTAATCGAGATAAAACTTCTTACTTTTCATTTCGGCTCTTGTATACTGCACGTTAGGAAACACGTCGTTCAAAAGAGAGAAAAGTAGGGGAATGTCTTCAGCCACAAGTTTAGGCACCATGGTTTCGCACACCGATTGAATAAGAATCTCTTGTTCAGGTAAATTTTCTGCAATACTAGCTTCGTCTATATTCGTTTCGCCTCGTTGCTTCATACCGTCTTTAACACGCATTATCCTGTCTCTTTTAACATTTCCGGCAGAGACCAAGACGGACTTGAGAGCTCGCAATCCAAAGTCGTAATGAGATTGGTTGGATAACTGTTCGTCGCAAAGTCTGCACAATACAAGAAAAAATAAAGCATAAATAAATTAATTGATTAATAAGTATTTTCAGTTTGATAACTTACTTGAAAAATGGTACAATTTTGCATGCCAACTTTTCGGCTGTTCTGAACCCTTGCGAAAAGAGCATAACTTCGGCAATGAGTTGTCTGTCGGGTGTGGTCATTGCCAACGATCTAAAAAGTTTCTTTAAGTTGTCGGGAAGGTTGGAACGTCCGGCATAACCAGGATTCATCGTTATAAAGATGGCCATATCTGGTGAAACGCGAACCTGCTTTCCAACTAATTCTACACTAATTCCTGAAACAACAAATGACATGAGAAATTCGTTAAAAATAAAAAAACATGAGATAATTAGGAAAGAGTTATGTTATTTATGTCACAAGGAATTTCTTATAAAGAAACTATTAGAGTAACGTATACTGACTTGTATTTGATCCATTTTCGTTACTGTTGTTTGCTTCAGCCTGTGATTTAAGAGCTTCTTGAATGGTTTGAATCTGCTGAGATACGGCTGACAGCATCCTTTCTTCGAGACGATTGAACTCGTCGAAACAACCCCAGGCTCCCACCTGACACAAACCGACAAAGATGCGACCCATAGCCTGAAAGTCGAACGTTTCGTCGCAGTTAAATACCAGAACGAACCTTCCAAGCTGGTGTCCCAAAGCTTTTACTGATTCCGTCTTACCAGTTCCAGCAGGACCTGCCAGCAAAAAAGAAAGGAAAATAAATAACTTTTTATTAATTATAAATACTTTTTTTATTATCTTTGTATTCAAATTAAACTGAAAAAACAACATGTACCGAATGGTGAACCTCCAAGTCTGGACTCTAACGCTTGCGTCATTGTAAGATAGCATCGATCTGTTAAAGGTGTCTGCACGAGTCGATCTTGAACTCCCAAATACTCGAAGCCGTAATAAAATCTAGCATTGGCCATGTGAATTGTAAGTTGCTTCAGTACCTCGGTTTGCCTTGGGTCAAAATAGAATCTCATTTCGCATAGCCATTCGAACGCTTTATTACTACATACGCCATTTGAAATAAGACGACGGGTCACAGTTCTTTTGTGAACAAATTCATTGATCTAAAAATGTACAATAAATAGAAATTATAAAATAAATAAATTTTCAACTTACCAAATGTTCTAATTTCTTTCTTCTTAGCGGCGGTTGTTCTTGAAGAACGGAATCTGCAAGTACGTTCAAGGTATTTTCAACGTTCTGAAGGACTTTCTCCAATGGTCCTTTCTGTGGCTCACTGTTCATCTTATTCAATGCGGCTTCAACATCTTCACTCCACAGGATTTGCGCAGCCAATACAACGATCTGCGCCTGGTATTTGTCAACCCATTGCATGAACAGTTTCGGCTCAATGGAATCTTTGAATTGTTTAATGTCCTGAACAGCCTGTGCCAAACTAGACGCCAAAGTTACTCGCATCTCCTTTTCGACCAACGTTAACCATTCATTTATTTTTGGGTGTTCAATGGTTGAAACGGGTGTCACAAATCTCACCTATAATTTCATAATCCACATTAAAAATCTGGAAACTCTCGAAAAAGACAAAAAATTACACACCTCTTCGCCTTCTCTGGAAGCTATTCCAGTTATAACTGTGCTGTCTTCGTTCAATAAGATGGCTGCAACCCCAGCGAACATTTTCTTGAAATGTTTCTGAAGACGTGCAATATTCTTGCTGTTACCAATAATTTCCAGCAAATCTTCATCCCCCACAAAATAGAAACGAGGAAATGACGTACGTTCTCGTTCCAAATATTCTCCCAATGCTTTCTGAATTTTTCCCAGTAAATCGGCCAGTCTCTCTAGTGATCTTTGAACGCCAGGAATATTAAGAACATCCATGACCATTGGCGACTTACTCACTTTCTTCATAAGCCCCAAAAATTCTGAGCTACAAAATTAAACCAAAAAATTATTTAATAAAAAGACTTAAAAGGNTCGTCCTCCGGCAATAGAACAGTTGCGGCTTTACGCAGAAAATTAGCAAATTCTGTGAAATCTACTACAGACACGTTTTGGGGTTCAGGGGTACTTTCAGATATATTAATAAGAAAATATATTATTATGGAATAAAATAAACAATAACATTTTAGGCAAAAATAATTTTTAAAAATAATAAAAAAAGGAAAAAATAACATACCTAATACATCTTCAACTCTTCGTAAATAAGTGGTCAACTGATGATCGATTTGCCTAGCCCAAATAATCGACCCAGAGACTGGGGGTAGATCACGAACTTTACTTATACGAGCACTATTACTTTGTGGATATTGAACCTAGAATAAAACAAACTTATATAAATTTATTATATTATCGATATTCAATATTTTTTACCTTGAATTTTTCATGCAAAGCTTCAATGTCATCTTTAACACGTTGAATCAAATGGGTTTGGTATTCCCTAATTGCTCCTCGTATGTGAGGTCTAACAAAAAGGGCGTTGAATCTCGAAAATATTCGGAACATTTCGTTTGCATTTTTTGCTGTACCCAGTTGGTCCCTTAGATGAGCGGTGATTCTTGCTTCCACACGATCAATACGCTCCTCGTAACGTTGCACAGCAGCATCCCATGCATCCTGGCCCTCTTTCGAAATGTCCAAGCAGTCTACCTCTTTTACATTTTCATAAGCCAAATTAACTTCCTAAAGGTGGAGAGGGAATTTTAATTAATTAGTGGTACATAACTAATAATAACAACAGAAAAATCTAAGATTACAACTAAAACTACAGCAGTAATTAATAGAATCTTTTTTAAATTAAAGCATAACTCATTTTAAATACGACGAAGGTTTGAAATAAAAGACTAAAAGAAATAACGAAGATTAAATTAAACAAGAAACAATTATAAGACCTTAAACTTTGCAGTTAAAGTAATTTTTAAGTAATTTCAATCATAACTAATTTATTTTGCCTACTATGCCAATGTTCATCTATTAAAGCATATTAATTGTGTTCGTTTAAATAATTATGAATATTTTTTATTATATACACTAATTCTTCCCCCTGGCCCGGCCATTTTTATTGCTCTACTATGACGTAGTGTCGGCCATCATTCTTTTCTAATTGTTGCAGTTGTCGGCCATAATTCTTTTTCAATTGTTGTCGCATTGTCACTGATGTCGGCCATTATTGTTTTTTAATAGATGTATAGAAATCAATGATTAAAATTTGAAGAAGTTGTTTGTAAATAGGTATGCAACACATCGTACACTTCAGCATAAGAAATTGCTGATACTAACTTTCATTTACGTAACACTACTCTTCCCTGTGTTGACAGCACTTATAATTTCTTTTATATATAATATTTAATGAAATTGTTGTCTCACCTCAATGGCATTTGCATCTGCAGCATCCAATGCAAAAGCATCTTGTTTGGGTTGTTCCAGCTCTTCTCCTTCTGTCACCGCATTAACCTGACGAGTGGTAGGTCTCAAAACCCTCACAATTACGGTACGCAATTGCTCATGTTGTATCCTGAATTTTCTCATGTGCTCCATTCTCGACTGCAGTTTCTTATGTTGCGCCGAGATACGCCAGACCATCTTCATATGTTCGTCCCTCTTTTTCTTAATTATATCCCTGAAATTAATTAATTAACAGATAGCATAATTATGATTTCTTTAAGTAATTTTTGTATATACCTAAGCAGTGCTTGCAACTTTTCATACTCATCTTCCCATGTGGAGAAAACATCGTAACACTGGGTCATGACTTTTTCGAACTCGTCAAAAGGAATATGCATCAATCTTCGTGTACCTAACACTTTCAACAGTTGTACGCTGAGATCTCGTGAGATTGCTTCCACCAATCGAAGACAGCGCTGAATGGGATACTTGGTGGTTCTTATCTTACGAAGATGAGAAAATATCAGCTGAACAGCTGCACGAATTCTTTCCAATTCGGTGGCAGCTAATAAGTCGTTGATTGGGAAATCCTAAAAATAAAATAAAAGACAATTACAATATAAAAGAAAATAATTGCTGAACATTCTGCTTGCCTTCATTAGAGGATTGTAATCATTAACAGTAGCAAGAGCCTGTTTCAGTCCTGTATCAGTGTCAAAAGACACAGTAGCATGAAAACGTTTGCCATGCTTCAAAATGTCCAATGTGAGGGCAACTTCCATACTTTCCCGCTTCTCCTGGATTCGGTGCAATGCTCTTTCCAAATTTAGCCAGAAACTTATTTCTTGTAAAGCAGTACCAGATGATGGATCACGATCTAATTTTGTTACCTTCAAAAACAAAATAATTGTATAAAACCGAATATTATTATTTAAAAATAATAGCTACAATATACCTTCTGAATTTCTTTGATCCATCGATTTACTCCGTTTTGTAACTGATTTAAAAATGTTGAGTCATCAACTTTATCACCAAAATCAGCAACTTTTGGTTTTCGACCNTTTAAGTTGTCGGGAAGGTTGGAACGTCCGGCATAACCAGGATTCATCGTTATAAAGATGGCCATATCTGGTGAAACGCGAACCTGCTTTCCAACTAATTCTACACTAATTCCTGAAACAACAAATGACATGAGAAATTCGTTAAAAATAAAAAAACATGAGATAATTAGGAAAGAGTTATGTTATTTATGTCACAAGGAATTTCTTATAAAGAAACTATTAGAGTAACGTATACTGACTTGTATTTGATCCATTTTCGTTACTGTTGTTTGCTTCAGCCTGTGATTTAAGAGCTTCTTGAATGGTTTGAATCTGCTGAGATACGGCTGACAGCATCCTTTCTTCGAGACGATTGAACTCGTCGAAACAACCCCAGGCTCCCACCTGACACAAACCGACAAAGATGCGACCCATAGCCTGAAAGTCGAACGTTTCGTCGCAGTTAAATACCAGAACGAACCTTCCAAGCTGGTGTCCCAAAGCTTTTACTGATTCCGTCTTACCAGTTCCAGCAGGACCTGCCAGCAAAAAAGAAAGGAAAATAAATAACTTTTTATTAATTATAAATACTTTTTTTATTATCTTTGTATTCAAATTAAACTGAAAAAACAACATGTACCGAATGGTGAACCTCCAAGTCTGGACTCTAACGCTTGCGTCATTGTAAGATAGCATCGATCTGTTAAAGGTGTCTGCACGAGTCGATCTTGAACTCCCAAATACTCGAAGCCGTAATAAAATCTAGCATTGGCCATGTGAATTGTAAGTTGCTTCAGTACCTCGGTTTGCCTTGGGTCAAAATAGAATCTCATTTCGCATAGCCATTCGAACGCTTTATTACTACATACGCCATTTGAAATAAGACGACGGGTCACAGTTCTTTTGTGAACAAATTCATTGATCTAAAAATGTACAATAAATAGAAATTATAAAATAAATAAATTTTCAACTTACCAAATGTTCTAATTTCTTTCTTCTTAGCGGCGGTTGTTCTTGAAGAACGGAATCTGCAAGTACGTTCAAGGTATTTTCAACGTTCTGAAGGACTTTCTCCAATGGTCCTTTCTGTGGCTCACTGTTCATCTTATTCAATGCGGCTTCAACATCTTCACTCCACAGGATTTGCGCAGCCAATACAACGATCTGCGCCTGGTATTTGTCAACCCATTGCATGAACAGTTTCGGCTCAATGGAATCTTTGAATTGTTTAATGTCCTGAACAGCCTGTGCCAAACTAGACGCCAAAGTTACTCGCATCTCCTTTTCGACCAACGTTAACCATTCATTTATTTTTGGGTGTTCAATGGTTGAAACGGGTGTCACAAATCTCACCTATAATTTCATAATCCACATTAAAAATCTGGAAACTCTCGAAAAAGACAAAAAATTACACACCTCTTCGCCTTCTCTGGAAGCTATTCCAGTTATAACTGTGCTGTCTTCGTTCAATAAGATGGCTGCAACCCCAGCGAACATTTTCTTGAAATGTTTCTGAAGACGTGCAATATTCTTGCTGTTACCAATAATTTCCAGCAAATCTTCATCCCCCACAAAATAGAAACGAGGAAATGACGTACGTTCTCGTTCCAAATATTCTCCCAATGCTTTCTGAATTTTTCCCAGTAAATCGGCCAGTCTCTCTAGTGATCTTTGAACGCCAGGAATATTAAGAACATCCATGACCATTGGCGACTTACTCACTTTCTTCATAAGCCCCAAAAATTCTGAGCTACAAAATTAAACCAAAAAATTATTTAATAAAAAGACTTAAAAGGCAGTAATCATACCTAATGCTTTGAAATCTTGACGTTTCCACCGGTAAAAGTGTCTTAATGTCAGCACTTCCAGAAAAGATGCCTTCCAAGTAAACCCATCGCCTCTGTACATCAATCCAAACGTCAAATAAGGCATTAATACGATTAAGTTTCTCTTCCCATGTAAGCGCTTCCTCTTCAAAAACTTTATAATAAGGAGACAGCTTCATAGCAGCAACCGAATTTATGTGCTCTTTGACTTTATTGAATAGGTCGTCCCAACCTCGTATCAAACGACATTTGTTCTGATAATTAATCAGATCGAGTTCGTAATTCTGCCAAGATTCGCGCACTTGTTTCAAAAATTCTTCAAGCGCCATTTCTCCTTGTGCGACCAAAATGATATCCTTCACAATCGACTCATTCTTTTGCAAGTTGACATCCCACACTTGCCCGAGTGTAAGATCTGAGAGGACCCAATTGACTCGGAGTTGTTTCATTAATTGTTTCCAATGGCGTTCTTTTAATGCATCTGACTTCAGCTCGACAATGAGCATATTCACTTTGGTGTAGTTTTGAAGCAGTTTCTTAACGTATTCGTAAGAAGCGTATTGTCGAAGTCTAGCGGGGAGTTCTTTCAACTGAGCAGACATTGCATCAAGTTGCTGGCGTAACTTGCGAGGCTGCACTGACAACCAAGGTTTCTCACGAGTTTCGTCAATTTGAGCCCATATTCTGGATAATTCGGACCATACGCCACGAAGGTCTTGCAGTTCTTCAAACACTACCTGCATACGATCCTCGCTAGTACTAATACCACCTAAAAATTGCATTATTTAGAATTAGTTCAATAATTAGTTAACAATATGTGAATTGCACTAATGGGCATCTACAAAAAAGTAGAAAACTGTCGCACAAATGAATCTCTAAGCCATCAAAATAAAAAGCATTGTTCAAAAAACTATTAATATTTATTAACAGAACTTGTAATTTTAATTACCTGGTTCTTGCAATTCCAAAGCTTCTTTGGCCTTGGCAACATTATCTCTTTCTTCTTTAAGTCTTGCATATTTGCTTTCAAACAACTGTAGTTGAGTTAATGCCTCATCAGGTCTTAGTGATCCTTCAACAGGTTTGCTTCTCTCCCATTCGTTCAAGAAATCATTGGTACGATTCTCCACTGCTTTATCTTCAGATACGATCTTCTGTTGCAAACTTGCGACCTAAAAAAATGCAAAACCGAACATTAGTTTATAGAAGACATTACCATAATAAATATTTAATTGATACCTGAGTTTGAATAGAGGAATCCTTGCGCTTAATGATTTCGTTGAAAGCTCCCCATTCACCCTCCAAATTCTCTACGTGCAACCAAGTATTTGGAAATTGGAATCGTTGTCTTTCTAAAATGCGCTGACCTTCACGATACACCTCAACTTGCTTTTCCCATGCCTAGAAAAAACAACGCATACAAAAGCATCCCTTTTTGATGCATTATTATGTTTCAATACCTTCATGCTTCTTTTCAGGGATTGCACATAAGTAATAAAACTGACAGCGTCAGAAGTGCTGGCAGCTTCAATGCTTTGCATTTCAAGATCAGAACGTGATTTAGACACCTGAGAATGGAAAGAAGCCATCTCATTACCCAGCAAAGTTCCAAACTTACTTAACACTTCTTTATGCCAGGAGTCATATTTTAAGGAGACTTTGCTTTGCACTTTGGCAAAGTCGATTATAATGGGACCGAATTCTCGTCGAGTATCAGAAGTATCGAATGTAGAACGTGTTTTTCTAGAACAGAATAAAATTATATCCTACAAATTTTATAAATTGTTAAAAGATGTACTTGATATCATTCAAACACATCATCCACTTGCTAATATCATCCCCCAATCGGTTATAAAGATTATCAGCTTGAAGGTCCCATAAAGATTGGTAATTCAACCATTCTTTGACGTATTTTTGAACCTGAAATGGTAATTACCCAAATAAATGAGAACCTCCCTATAAATAAATGCAAAAATGTAAAAAAAAAAACACTACCCACCTCCTTTATCTTTGAATCAATTGCACTGTAGGCATTTTCGAGGGGCCCTGGTCCTTCAGGTAATTTTGTTAGTATGTTTCTGTAAGTTTCAGTTACGGGTTTGTCAACACCCACTTGATAACGACTACTTTGTAAGCGTTGCTGAGATAATACGATGGCTTGCCATGCAAATAACTGCTGCATAATTTGGAAACGGGCTTCTTCAATACTAGGATACAAATACATGGTCTGATTGGTGATTCGAAATTCGTGGACTATGGTTTGGATTTGCGGATCGCCACCAGGTTTATGAGTCGGATGAGCTGGAGCATCTGTATCCATACTATGATCGATTTCGTTCTTAATACCATTCAAAGAATCTGTCCACGCTTGGATACCTGCTTCGAGACGTCGAGCCAAATTCTTTTCCACCTTAGATTAACAGAGAAGATTATTAAACTACACACCTTCAAATAAAAACAAGTGTTATTTACTTCTTCATCTAAACGGCTGACCCAGATGTGAAGGTTTGAGAATTGTTTCAGTGACAAATCATCAACAGCATGTTGTATTTTAGACAAAATATCTGCAAAAGTGTTGGCCGAATAAGGACAAGTCTCCAACGAACGCACATCGACTTCCAGTTGTTCACCCACTACAACCAACTCTTCCACACGCTCCTGGAAGCTGACCACCGTGTCGGAGAGTCGTTGCACGTATGGGTCGAGTTTATAACTTTCCCAAACCAATTGAATACCTTCTGCGATTAAATTCTGTACTTCTTTTCGCATGCCTGCTACCAGAGGAATGATACTTGCTTTGTCCTCAATCTAAATTTAACAGAATTACTTTTTATTTAAACAGTAGAAATAAATCCAATCAGTTTGCTAGACAAACAGGCGCTGAACTTGCTCCAACATGAAGCCATTCGGGGTACGATATGTTACAAACGGAAAGTACAATAATCCATAAAATGAATATATTATATGCATATATACAACTGCATACTTAGAAAGGAAAGAACGAATTCATCTTCATTTTTTTAAAGCTATATAATTTTAAACTAGAAAATTTACATCATGCATATAATAACAAAAACAATTACAGTTCTATGAAACAGAATTATGCGGTAGGTTATTCATACGCTAAGGGAAAAGGAAATAGAAAAAATATAATAAATTTAGATTTTTTCTTTTACCTACTTTTGAGTTACGTTTTTGAGCTATTTTATATAAATTATTATGTTACTGCCAGTTACTGATCAATGTCAAAAAGTGTCTCTAACAGAAACTATTTTCCTTATTAAGATTGTATTTGGACTGGAGTTTAATATTTAGAAAAAAAAAGAATATAAGGGAGCCATGCGCTCAGCAAAAGCCAACGTTTTACCTACGAAAAATAAAAAAACATCAACATGCCGTATAGGGGGACTTTACATCAATAGCTCGAACTTTTCTACCAGCTACCTTAAGAGAACTATGGACATTGTTTCCTTTAGTAAGCTATAAATATTTGTGACTGGTTAAAACAAATAGATACTATTTATATGGTGAACAGTTGAAATTTGAAATTCTTCTAACTCTATTGCTTCTTACTTAATTTTTAATGAACAGGACAAAAAACACAACCGACATCAAATAATTAATCAAACATACAAGGTGAGACCATTATTTAGTCACTTATGTAAAATAATTGCTTATTGCTTGTCGAAAATTGTTATAAATCACGAATTATATTTAAGTAACATTTTTAAATGTGTATGTGTTATTCCTACACCCAGTATATTATGTCACAATAAAATGTGCAAAAACAAAAAGCGTTATTAGAACATTAAAAATAGTACATATTATATCATATTTGTAACAAACTAATCCTTTTTTTTATAATTTCTGATAGTAAAATACAAACAGGCGCAATAAATTGCTGAAAAAACTATTAAAAATTTGAACAACCAGTCATTAATAAATAACACTCACCTTTTCCAGGGTCATTTCGTAGGTTCGTACGCTCTCAATTAACGAGATAGCAAATGGATAGAGCTGGTTAGCTTGATGCGCTTTGTTCACAATAGCCAATGGTACTCGGAATCCTAGACATTTCAAATTTCGAACTTCTTTAGCCAAAGTGATAATTTCCGGTAAGAAATTCACTCGCAACTTAAGATTATTGCCACGTCCAGTTCTTGAACGTACGGCTTCGATTGTGAAAATACGCCCAGAAACTCCGAGATTACGTTGTTGTACATTTCGTGCCCATTCGTCGAAAATCTCCTGAGTATTCAATTTCAAACGAAAACTGTCTCCATCTGCCTTCAATTTTTGACCTTCTATGTGATTTTCCCAACCTTTCCCTTTGAATATATAATCAAGTCAAACAACTAAATTTTAATCATTTTTTTTTAGTAACTATTAACGATTGAACAAAACATATATTAATAAGAAAATATATTATTATGGAATAAAATAAACAATAACATTTTAGGCAAAAATAATTTTTAAAAATAATAAAAAAAGGAAAAAATAACATACCTAATACATCTTCAACTCTTCGTAAATAAGTGGTCAACTGATGATCGATTTGCCTAGCCCAAATAATCGACCCAGAGACTGGGGGTAGATCACGAACTTTACTTATACGAGCACTATTACTTTGTGGATATTGAACCTAGAATAAAACAAACTTATATAAATTTATTATATTATCGATATTCAATATTTTTTACCTTGAATTTTTCATGCAAAGCTTCAATGTCATCTTTAACACGTTGAATCAAATGGGTTTGGTATTCCCTAATTGCTCCTCGTATGTGAGGTCTAACAAAAAGGGCGTTGAATCTCGAAAATATTCGGAACATTTCGTTTGCATTTTTTGCTGTACCCAGTTGGTCCCTTAGATGAGCGGTGATTCTTGCTTCCACACGATCAATACGCTCCTCGTAACGTTGCACAGCAGCATCCCATGCATCCTGGCCCTCTTTCGAAATGTCCAAGCAGTCTACCTCTTTTACATTTTCATAAGCCAAATTAACTTCCTAAAGGTGGAGAGGGAATTTTAATTAATTAGTGGTACATAACTAATAATAACAACAGAAAAATCTAAGATTACAACTAAAACTACAGCAGTAATTAATAGAATCTTTTTTAAATTAAAGCATAACTCATTTTAAATACGACGAAGGTTTGAAATAAAAGACTAAAAGAAATAACGAAGATTAAATTAAACAAGAAACAATTATAAGACCTTAAACTTTGCAGTTAAAGTAATTTTTAAGTAATTTCAATCATAACTAATTTATTTTGCCTACTATGCCAATGTTCATCTATTAAAGCATATTAATTGTGTTCGTTTAAATAATTATGAATATTTTTTATTATATACACTAATTCTTCCCCCTGGCCCGGCCATTTTTATTGCTCTACTATGACGTAGTGTCGGCCATCATTCTTTTCTAATTGTTGCAGTTGTCGGCCATAATTCTTTTTCAATTGTTGTCGCATTGTCACTGATGTCGGCCATTATTGTTTTTTAATAGATGTATAGAAATCAATGATTAAAATTTGAAGAAGTTGTTTGTAAATAGGTATGCAACACATCGTACACTTCAGCATAAGAAATTGCTGATACTAACTTTCATTTACGTAACACTACTCTTCCCTGTGTTGACAGCACTTATAATTTCTTTTATATATAATATTTAATGAAATTGTTGTCTCACCTCAATGGCATTTGCATCTGCAGCATCCAATGCAAAAGCATCTTGTTTGGGTTGTTCCAGCTCTTCTCCTTCTGTCACCGCATTAACCTGACGAGTGGTAGGTCTCAAAACCCTCACAATTACGGTACGCAATTGCTCATGTTGTATCCTGAATTTTCTCATGTGCTCCATTCTCGACTGCAGTTTCTTATGTTGCGCCGAGATACGCCAGACCATCTTCATATGTTCGTCCCTCTTTTTCTTAATTATATCCCTGAAATTAATTAATTAACAGATAGCATAATTATGATTTCTTTAAGTAATTTTTGTATATACCTAAGCAGTGCTTGCAACTTTTCATACTCATCTTCCCATGTGGAGAAAACATCGTAACACTGGGTCATGACTTTTTCGAACTCGTCAAAAGGAATATGCATCAATCTTCGTGTACCTAACACTTTCAACAGTTGTACGCTGAGATCTCGTGAGATTGCTTCCACCAATCGAAGACAGCGCTGAATGGGATACTTGGTGGTTCTTATCTTACGAAGATGAGAAAATATCAGCTGAACAGCTGCACGAATTCTTTCCAATTCGGTGGCAGCTAATAAGTCGTTGATTGGGAAATCCTAAAAATAAAATAAAAGACAATTACAATATAAAAGAAAATAATTGCTGAACATTCTGCTTGCCTTCATTAGAGGATTGTAATCATTAACAGTAGCAAGAGCCTGTTTCAGTCCTGTATCAGTGTCAAAAGACACAGTAGCATGAAAACGTTTGCCATGCTTCAAAATGTCCAATGTGAGGGCAACTTCCATACTTTCCCGCTTCTCCTGGATTCGGTGCAATGCTCTTTCCAAATTTAGCCAGAAACTTATTTCTTGTAAAGCAGTACCAGATGATGGATCACGATCTAATTTTGTTACCTTCAAAAACAAAATAATTGTATAAAACCGAATATTATTATTTAAAAATAATAGCTACAATATACCTTCTGAATTTCTTTGATCCATCGATTTACTCCGTTTTGTAACTGATTTAAAAATGTTGAGTCATCAACTTTATCACCAAAATCAGCAACTTTTGGTTTTCGACCTTCATCAGTGCACCTTTTAATGACGCTGGCAACAAGTGGATGAACTGGTAATGAAATTTCAGGAATGTCTATATTTTGCTGTAAATGTAGTAGACCCATTTCAAGTTCAGCGATTGTTTTTTCAACAGTTGGAGCCATTTTATCACCATCTCTATAAGCATAAAGTAAACTCATGGGTACATAATTATTTTTAATTGTTGAATATAAAAAACCTTGGTTACTAGAGAACTTCCTTTTATTAAGGTAATTTATTAACTTTAATATTGATAACATGGAATTTAAACTTACCTATCAGCTCTTCCAGATTCTTTAACATAAGACTTGAAGTATGGAGCGACAGTTTTACTAATATAAGCATGCAATGTTTCATAGGGTGAACCATCACTAAAATTCATCATTCTTAGCTGTGCCCTAATGCTTTTATCAGCCTCTATAACAGCTCCTCGTTTTAACATCACTAAACTTGCCATTTTTGGATTGGTAAAGTGGACTTCATTATTGATATAGTACATGACAGGTTCTTTCTCTTCCTCTCCTTCAGGGGGTTGATCCGTTTCATCCTCCTTAGAGCAGCTTCTTTGTATAAAGAGTGTGTTGACCTGGGCATCACTTATAAATTTTCTTATACATTCTTGGTTAGCTTTATCCTCCAGGGCTGCATTAAGTGCTGGGGAATCTGCCTGAGCATCGTCCTCCGGCAATAGAACAGTTGCGGCTTTACGCAGAAAATTAGCAAATTCTGTGAAATCTACTACAGACACGTTTTGGGGTTCAGGGGTACTTTCAGTTCCTTCTAAGGAGTCACCCATTTTTGTTAAATAGGTGAGTACCTTTTAGGAGGAAAGTCTACACTTTATTTTCACTATTGATTTTTGTCCTTTTCCACAACCACACTGTATATTTTTACTTACATCACTAACAATAATAAAGTAACCTTTAAATTGCAATAGTAATTAAATAATCGTTAATATTATGACCATTGCATGACACAACTGAGTACACCTACAAACACCTTAAGAACGACAAACTGACATGCCGTAAGCGGAAATGGAAATGACTAATAATAATAAAAATGACAAGTGGATTATATAAAAAAAAAACAATAGAGTACAACGGTTCATCTTATGCAACCCATTTTACTATTCACACCTGCTAGTACAGCTACATCTAGTGTCTGAAATACGCACTGGTTTCTAATTTGAATTATTTGGCGGATTTTTCTCACCCCTAAATATAAAAAAGACTTTCAGGATTGCATTAAAAATATTTTCATTACAATTAAACAATAAAACATTTTATAACGTCTACAATTATATTTAAAGAAAGGATACCAATATTAATTTCAAAAAAGAACAACCAGTTTTTAAATATTTTATTATCAGTACGTAATCCTTCAATTCTATTTACCATTCAGCCAATAAAAAAAACAAATAATTTTATGCTTCGATTATAAGGTACAAACTCCAAATTTAATTTTTAATTTAATAACATTCTATTCAAAAATCCACACGAAATAATTAGTAACAAAAATAAGACTTTATAACGTACAAAATAATAAACTATCATTCGTAAAACATAAAACAAAAAGAAATTGTAATAAGAGGACAAAAAACATTTTTTTTATCACTAACTGTAAAAGATAGTCAATGTAATACATATTATATATCACTTTTACTAACACCTAATATCACAACATCTAGGATTTTAAAAAATGCTCGCAAACAAATTACTATAGGTACTACAAGATTAATTATATGAGTTATCACTACACGCCAACAATATATGTATATTCGAAAAGAACGGTAAAATATACACGTTTTTAGTTGTTGGTAGAAAACAATTGTAATATGCAAAGCTCAAACATTCATACAATAATATAAAGGAGGAAAAGTTAATTATTATGACGATGTGATTAAATTTGCTTCATTAGCATCATCTAAAACATCAACTGGTTCTCTCCAATAAATAAATTGTGAATAATCTGACGCAGGTTCTAAAATAGGAGGAAACAGCTGATCCACAATGTGACTCATGTTGGTATAGCTGAAACAAAAAACAAATTTATAATTAACATTTTAAAATAAAACAGAAAAGGATGTAATTACCTACTACAGTATAAACAATAATGAAAGCAAATGATTTCCGAGTATTATATATATATAAAAAAAAGGATGAATCCAAAACAAACTGCAACTATTCTATTTTTCCAGAAATAAAACTGTTAAGGAATCAAGTGATGTATACGTTTCACAACATTTATACTTATATACAAAAAAATAGCAATAAGTTGAAAAAGTTTTTCGCAACCCCTTAAATAAATTTTCTAAAAAAGGCATTAAAGCGAGACAAGGTAAACGTATGCTATTAGTAGTCACTTCGACGGCCTTAAAGTAAGTATTATATCTTATTTAGGTAATTTAAGAGTAAACGAACAAACGTCTGTGAGTAACTTGAAAATTGTGTTTATTATTTATTTTATTTATTCCATGCTGTCAGTAAACATGATGAAATGGTATAAAGCACACCCGTCAATATCGAAATGTCCTTACCATTTCAATAAATGCCCTTATTACACGCCAAAATATGATTAATAAATACTAGCAATATTTTTGCAAAGTATGTATATTATTTTTTCACTATTTGTCTACCCACCCAGTTAAAATATACGTACTACATACACATAACAAAATACTTGATATAAATATGTAATTAATATATATACATATTTTCGCCAACACTAAATAATATAGATTTTTAACAGTTAAATATTAATAAATTACTAAAAAAACTACGTAACGCTGCCCTCGCGACAAATTTACATTTAATTTTTGTACTATAAAATGGTTTATCAATAATACTGCACATTTTGGTGGATTAAATCGGAATGGAAAGTTGAAGTATTTCCAAAAGTAATTTTTAAAAACGCTAAACCGATAATTACTCCCTAATCATAACAGACTCTTTTACTTGTCAAATATTGACTTATAATGAAGTTTTAGTGCAAAAAAGTGCTAGTATTTATCAAGCCATGGTCTCAGGAGGTGAAGACACAGCATAGGTTTGTTAAATTTTATCTTTAATTGGTGGAAATACTTCATTGACGATTAAAGACTGCCCAGAGTAGCTGAAATGAAATACAAAAGCAATTTATTCTTACTGGACCTTTTCACTTTAAAAACGATGTTTTTTTTGTAATATTTTTTCTCTAAACATTCATACTATACAAAATATCTCACTTCAGCATAATTTCTTATAATCGTTAAAAAAACAAAAACAATTTTAACAACAATACTGTATGAAATAAACGACTATCCAAAGAAATTATGAAAGAACTACACCAGAATGGGACACTTATATGAATAAACTTCTTTACCTTCTATATAATTTATATATAAAAGCAATCAATACAAATACATTCAGCAATCACTAAAACGTGTGTTTTTATAATCCTCTTTGATCCATCGATTTACTCCGTTTTGTAACTNGTCTCTAACAGAAACTATTTTCCTTATTAAGATTGTATTTGGACTGGAGTTTAATATTTAGAAAAAAAAAGAATATAAGGGAGCCATGCGCTCAGCAAAAGCCAACGTTTTACCTACGAAAAATAAAAAAACATCAACATGCCGTATAGGGGGACTTTACATCAATAGCTCGAACTTTTCTACCAGCTACCTTAAGAGAACTATGGACATTGTTTCCTTTAGTAAGCTATAAATATTTGTGACTGGTTAAAACAAATAGATACTATTTATATGGTGAACAGTTGAAATTTGAAATTCTTCTAACTCTATTGCTTCTTACTTAATTTTTAATGAACAGGACAAAAAACACAACCGACATCAAATAATTAATCAAACATACAAGGTGAGACCATTATTTAGTCACTTATGTAAAATAATTGCTTATTGCTTGTCGAAAATTGTTATAAATCACGAATTATATTTAAGTAACATTTTTAAATGTGTATGTGTTATTCCTACACCCAGTATATTATGTCACAATAAAATGTGCAAAAACAAAAAGCGTTATTAGAACATTAAAAATAGTACATATTATATCATATTTGTAACAAACTAATCCTTTTTTTTATAATTTCTGATAGTAAAATACAAACAGGCGCAATAAATTGCTGAAAAAACTATTAAAAATTTGAACAACCAGTCATTAATAAATAACACTCACCTTTTCCAGGGTCATTTCGTAGGTTCGTACGCTCTCAATTAACGAGATAGCAAATGGATAGAGCTGGTTAGCTTGATGCGCTTTGTTCACAATAGCCAATGGTACTCGGAATCCTAGACATTTCAAATTTCGAACTTCTTTAGCCAAAGTGATAATTTCCGGTAAGAAATTCACTCGCAACTTAAGATTATTGCCACGTCCAGTTCTTGAACGTACGGCTTCGATTGTGAAAATACGCCCAGAAACTCCGAGATTACGTTGTTGTACATTTCGTGCCCATTCGTCGAAAATCTCCTGAGTATTCAATTTCAAACGAAAACTGTCTCCATCTGCCTTCAATTTTTGACCTTCTATGTGATTTTCCCAACCTTTCCCTTTGAATATATAATCAAGTCAAACAACTAAATTTTAATCATTTTTTTTTAGTAACTATTAACGATTGAACAAAACATNGATTTCAAAACTTATGTTGTGTGATATGGGTTGTGATGTACAAGACAATGGTTACCAGATCGAACGATTGACAGTTGTGTCTTCTTTCCTTTTTTCCTTTTTTCTATGTCTAGCATTGATTAAATAACACGGGCGCTTACCCTTCCCTAAGTTCCGCTTACTCGTTTCCGTTGCATTAACAAAATTACTCCCATTGTCACAGAAACGCACATATCGAGCGATAAGATATTACACATCAAACAAGCATAACAAATTTTTCAACAATCCACTTCTCTATTTTCTAATAACGCCCAATTTTTCAAAAAATCAACAACCCATTCATTAACATAGCAGCCATAAAACACTTCAAACCCCTTGTTATTACTTACTTTTAATACCAAGCAGCTTATAAATATTAAAACTAAGACTAGATGCACATTAGAAACAGACAAAATAAACGTAACATACCTTGACTGAAACGTCTGAGTTAATTCGTGTCTTAATTCTCCTTTCGGATTAATTGTAAATATTCGAACAATAGGAATGCCAACAGCCCTGTATGCCCATACATCCTAAAATGCAACAGAAAAAAAGTAAGGACTATAAAAATATAACATTCGTGTTGTATTACATTGATCTTATTTCCATAACCAGCATAGAAAGGATCGGCATCGCTCGGGAACAGTTGTCTTATATCACTCATGCAAGCTATTTTAAATTGTTCTGGTTTTTTCTCTATCACTTCTCTGAAAGTTAATTAATAGTTAATTAACACTTAAAAACATAATTTTTATCCATATTAAGCGGAGTACTCTGATGATCGATTTGCCTAGCCCAAATAATCGACCCAGAGACTGGGGGTAGATCACGAACTTTACTTATACGAGCACTATTACTTTGTGGATATTGAACCTAGAATAAAACAAACTTATATAAATTTATTATATTATCGATATTCAATATTTTTTACCTTGAATTTTTCATGCAAAGCTTCAATGTCATCTTTAACACGTTGAATCAAATGGGTTTGGTATTCCCTAATTGCTCCTCGTATGTGAGGTCTAACAAAAAGGGCGTTGAATCTCGAAAATATTCGGAACATTTCGTTTGCATTTTTTGCTGTACCCAGTTGGTCCCTTAGATGAGCGGTGATTCTTGCTTCCACACGATCAATACGCTCCTCGTAACGTTGCACAGCAGCATCCCATGCATCCTGGCCCTCTTTCGAAATGTCCAAGCAGTCTACCTCTTTTACATTTTCATAAGCCAAATTAACTTCCTAAAGGTGGAGAGGGAATTTTAATTAATTAGTGGTACATAACTAATAATAACAACAGAAAAATCTAAGATTACAACTAAAACTACAGCAGTAATTAATAGAATCTTTTTTAAATTAAAGCATAACTCATTTTAAATACGACGAAGGTTTGAAATAAAAGACTAAAAGAAATAACGAAGATTAAATTAAACAAGAAACAATTATAAGACCTTAAACTTTGCAGTTAAAGTAATTTTTAAGTAATTTCAATCATAACTAATTTATTTTGCCTACTATGCCAATGTTCATCTATTAAAGCATATTAATTGTGTTCGTTTAAATAATTATGAATATTTTTTATTATATACACTAATTCTTCCCCCTGGCCCGGCCATTTTTATTGCTCTACTATGACGTAGTGTCGGCCATCATTCTTTTCTAATTGTTGCAGTTGTCGGCCATAATTCTTTTTCAATTGTTGTCGCATTGTCACTGATGTCGGCCATTATTGTTTTTTAATAGATGTATAGAAATCAATGATTAAAATTTGAAGAAGTTGTTTGTAAATAGGTATGCAACACATCGTACACTTCAGCATAAGAAATTGCTGATACTAACTTTCATTTACGTAACACTACTCTTCCCTGTGTTGACAGCACTTATAATTTCTTTTATATATAATATTTAATGAAATTGTTGTCTCACCTCAATGGCATTTGCATCTGCAGCATCCAATGCAAAAGCATCTTGTTTGGGTTGTTCCAGCTCTTCTCCTTCTGTCACCGCATTAACCTGACGAGTGGTAGGTCTCAAAACCCTCACAATTACGGTACGCAATTGCTCATGTTGTATCCTGAATTTTCTCATGTGCTCCATTCTCGACTGCAGTTTCTTATGTTGCGCCGAGATACGCCAGACCATCTTCATATGTTCGTCCCTCTTTTTCTTAATTATATCCCTGAAATTAATTAATTAACAGATAGCATAATTATGATTTCTTTAAGTAATTTTTGTATATACCTAAGCAGTGCTTGCAACTTTTCATACTCATCTTCCCATGTGGAGAAAACATCGTAACACTGGGTCATGACTTTTTCGAACTCGTCAAAAGGAATATGCATCAATCTTCGTGTACCTAACACTTTCAACAGTTGTACGCTGAGATCTCGTGAGATTGCTTCCACCAATCGAAGACAGCGCTGAATGGGATACTTGGTGGTTCTTATCTTACGAAGATGAGAAAATATCAGCTGAACAGCTGCACGAATTCTTTCCAATTCGGTGGCAGCTAATAAGTCGTTGATTGGGAAATCCTAAAAATAAAATAAAAGACAATTACAATATAAAAGAAAATAATTGCTGAACATTCTGCTTGCCTTCATTAGAGGATTGTAATCATTAACAGTAGCAAGAGCCTGTTTCAGTCCTGTATCAGTGTCAAAAGACACAGTAGCATGAAAACGTTTGCCATGCTTCAAAATGTCCAATGTGAGGGCAACTTCCATACTTTCCCGCTTCTCCTGGATTCGGTGCAATGCTCTTTCCAAATTTAGCCAGAAACTTATTTCTTGTAAAGCAGTACCAGATGATGGATCACGATCTAATTTTGTTACCTTCAAAAACAAAATAATTGTATAAAACCGAATATTATTATTTAAAAATAATAGCTACAATATACCTTCTGAATTTCTTTGATCCATCGATTTACTCCGTTTTGTAACTGATTTAAAAATGTTGAGTCATCAACTTTATCACCAAAATCAGCAACTTTTGGTTTTCGACCTTCATCAGTGCACCTTTTAATGACGCTGGCAACAAGTGGATGAACTGGTAATGAAATTTCAGGAATGTCTATATTTTGCTGTAAATGTAGTAGACCCATTTCAAGTTCAGCGATTGTTTTTTCAACAGTTGGAGCCATTTTATCACCATCTCTATAAGCATAAAGTAAACTCATGGGTACATAATTATTTTTAATTGTTGAATATAAAAAACCTTGGTTACTAGAGAACTTCCTTTTATTAAGGTAATTTATTAACTTTAATATTGATAACATGGAATTTAAACTTACCGTTTTGAAGCAGTTTCTTAACGTATTCGTAAGAAGCGTATTGTCGAAGTCTAGCGGGGAGTTCTTTCAACTGAGCAGACATTGCATCAAGTTGCTGGCGTAACTTGCGAGGCTGCACTGACAACCAAGGTTTCTCACGAGTTTCGTCAATTTGAGCCCATATTCTGGATAATTCGGACCATACGCCACGAAGGTCTTGCAGTTCTTCAAACACTACCTGCATACGATCCTCGCTAGTACTAATACCACCTAAAAATTGCATTATTTAGAATTAGTTCAATAATTAGTTAACAATATGTGAATTGCACTAATGGGCATCTACAAAAAAGTAGAAAACTGTCGCACAAATGAATCTCTAAGCCATCAAAATAAAAAGCATTGTTCAAAAAACTATTAATATTTATTAACAGAACTTGTAATTTTAATTACCTGGTTCTTGCAATTCCAAAGCTTCTTTGGCCTTGGCAACATTATCTCTTTCTTCTTTAAGTCTTGCATATTTGCTTTCAAACAACTGTAGTTGAGTTAATGCCTCATCAGGTCTTAGTGATCCTTCAACAGGTTTGCTTCTCTCCCATTCGTTCAAGAAATCATTGGTACGATTCTCCACTGCTTTATCTTCAGATACGATCTTCTGTTGCAAACTTGCGACCTAAAAAAATGCAAAACCGAACATTAGTTTATAGAAGACATTACCATAATAAATATTTAATTGATACCTGAGTTTGAATAGAGGAATCCTTGCGCTTAATGATTTCGTTGAAAGCTCCCCATTCACCCTCCAAATTCTCTACGTGCAACCAAGTATTTGGAAATTGGAATCGTTGTCTTTCTAAAATGCGCTGACCTTCACGATACACCTCAACTTGCTTTTCCCATGCCTAGAAAAAACAACGCATACAAAAGCATCCCTTTTTGATGCATTATTATGTTTCAATACCTTCATGCTTCTTTTCAGGGATTGCACATAAGTAATAAAACTGACAGCGTCAGAAGTGCTGGCAGCTTCAATGCTTTGCATTTCAAGATCAGAACGTGATTTAGACACCTGAGAATGGAAAGAAGCCATCTCATTACCCAGCAAAGTTCCAAACTTACTTAACACTTCTTTATGCCAGGAGTCATATTTTAAGGAGACTTTGCTTTGCACTTTGGCAAAGTCGATTATAATGGGACCGAATTCTCGTCGAGTATCAGAAGTATCGAATGTAGAACGTGTTTTTCTAGAACAGAATAAAATTATATCCTACAAATTTTATAAATTGTTAAAAGATGTACTTGATATCATTCAAACACATCATCCACTTGCTAATATCATCCCCCAATCGGTTATAAAGATTATCAGCTTGAAGGTCCCATAAAGATTGGTAATTCAACCATTCTTTGACGTATTTTTGAACCTGAAATGGTAATTACCCAAATAAATGAGAACCTCCCTATAAATAAATGCAAAAATGTAAAAAAAAAAACACTACCCACCTCCTTTATCTTTGAATCAATTGCACTGTAGGCATTTTCGAGGGGCCCTGGTCCTTCAGGTAATTTTGTTAGTATGTTTCTGTAAGTTTCAGTTACGGGTTTGTCAACACCCACTTGATAACGACTACTTTGTAAGCGTTGCTGAGATAATACGATGGCTTGCCATGCAAATAACTGCTGCATAATTTGGAAACGGGCTTCTTCAATACTAGGATACAAATACATGGTCTGATTGGTGATTCGAAATTCGTGGACTATGGTTTGGATTTGCGGATCGCCACCAGGTTTATGAGTCGGATGAGCTGGAGCATCTGTATCCATACTATGATCGATTTCGTTCTTAATACCATTCAAAGAATCTGTCCACGCTTGGATACCTGCTTCGAGACGTCGAGCCAAATTCTTTTCCACCTTAGATTAACAGAGANTAACAGTTAAATATTAATAAATTACTAAAAAAACTACGTAACGCTGCCCTCGCGACAAATTTACATTTAATTTTTGTACTATAAAATGGTTTATCAATAATACTGCACATTTTGGTGGATTAAATCGGAATGGAAAGTTGAAGTATTTCCAAAAGTAATTTTTAAAAACGCTAAACCGATAATTACTCCCTAATCATAACAGACTCTTTTACTTGTCAAATATTGACTTATAATGAAGTTTTAGTGCAAAAAAGTGCTAGTATTTATCAAGCCATGGTCTCAGGAGGTGAAGACACAGCATAGGTTTGTTAAATTTTATCTTTAATTGGTGGAAATACTTCATTGACGATTAAAGACTGCCCAGAGTAGCTGAAATGAAATACAAAAGCAATTTATTCTTACTGGACCTTTTCACTTTAAAAACGATGTTTTTTTTTGTAATATTTTTTCTCTAAACATTCATACTATACAAAATATCTCACTTCAGCATAATTTCTTATAATCGTTAAAAAAACAAAAACAATTTTAACAACAATACTGTATGAAATAAACGACTATCCAAAGAAATTATGAAAGAACTACACCAGAATGGGACACTTATATGAATAAACTTCTTTACCTTCTATATAATTTATATATAAAAGCAATCAATACAAATACATTCAGCAATCACTAAAACGTGTGTTTTTATAATCCAAGTATCCAGTTCGAATATTACAAAAAACAAATTTATATTAACATAAAAAATTTGGGGAACCTTCAAAAAGAATTAAGCGTAAATTTTGAAAGTATACGATATTATTTATAATATTAATTACAGAAATTATCTATTAATACTTACTTTATCCAAGTAACTTCCGAAAATGAGTTTGTGTAACGAAGTATATATCAACACAACTACAAAATTGTTTAATTTATATTGTAAATAATGATTTCAAAACTTATGTTGTGTGATATGGGTTGTGATGTACAAGACAATGGTTACCAGATCGAACGATTGACAGTTGTGTCTTCTTTCCTTTTTTCCTTTTTTCTATGTCTAGCATTGATTAAATAACACGGGCGCTTACCCTTCCCTAAGTTCCGCTTACTCGTTTCCGTTGCATTAACAAAATTACTCCCATTGTCACAGAAACGCACATATCGAGCGATAAGATATTACACATCAAACAAGCATAACAAATTTTTCAACAATCCACTTCTCTATTTTCTAATAACGCCCAATTTTTCAAAAAATCAACAACCCATTCATTAACATAGCAGCCATAAAACACTTCAAACCCCTTGTTATTACTTACTTTTAATACCAAGCAGCTTATAAATATTAAAACTAAGACTAGATGCACATTAGAAACAGACAAAATAAACGTAACATACCTTGACTGAAACGTCTGAGTTAATTCGTGTCTTAATTCTCCTTTCGGATTAATTGTAAATATTCGAACAATAGGAATGCCAACAGCCCTGTATGCCCATACATCCTAAAATGCAACAGAAAAAAAGTAAGGACTATAAAAATATAACATTCGTGTTGTATTACATTGATCTTATTTCCATAACCAGCATAGAAAGGATCGGCATCGCTCGGGAACAGTTGTCTTATATCACTCATGCAAGCTATTTTAAATTGTTCTGGTTTTTTCTCTATCACTTCTCTGAAAGTTAATTAATAGTTAATTAACACTTAAAAACATAATTTTTATCCATATTAAGCGGAGTACTTATTAACATCAAACGTCTTATTTACTTTATAAATTTTGAAACATAACAATTTAAAAGTTTACACAAAAAATAAGATGTAATATTCATTTTTCTTAGTTTGATCTGAATTTTTTGGTAGAAGCATTTAAATATAAAAGAGGATAAATGTCTCCCTTTTCTGTTACATTAATTCTTTATGTAGAATTGAAAGAATAAAATTAAAATACCTGTGAAAAGCTGTTAAAAGGGATGTAGGATTGAGCAACACTGGTCCATCTGGCATGAAATTATCGTCCTGGCAAATGGATCTTAGATAATCCCTTGTTATTCTAGCTTGTCCAATCGCCCTAGCACTAAGGTACATTAATTTGTAACCGTTATTTTTAATTTTATTAAATAATTGAGCCACACCAGATTGGGCCCAGTCTTTACCTACGATTGGTAAAATATGTCCTAGCACATCAGACCTACAAAATGAAACAAAAATTATTACTCAATATGTAATTTACAAAAACACACGAAATGCTTACTTTGTAATGGTACCGTCTATATCTGACACGACAATTTTATCGTCCCATTTCCATTTATAAAGATGACACATGCACCGTGTCGTACCTTGATAGGCAGTCGTTACACTAAAGACAATTTCATTCAAATCGTCTCTCAAATTAAGTTTTTTCTGCAAGATCAAATAAAAATTATGATTAATCATATGTATAAGGCTTAGGCTACGCAAACAGCTGTCGAGTATTGTTTTGAAAATAAAAAACTTACTATCTGTTCTGAACTTAAGCGTAATGTTTTTCGACATTTGTCAAACTTTTCTGACTTGGAACTGTGAGAGTCTAATGTCTTATTATCTTCACTTTTCACATCATCTTTTTCAGAGTCTTTTAGATCTTCCATGTCTGAAAAATATATCTATTTATATACAACTTTTAATAACTATTTAATAATAATTTCTTGTACTACATAAATGGTGTGAAAATAGTTTATTGAAATTGTTCCTTTTAAGATTTTTTCTTTAAAAATACAACAATAGTACGAGTCTTAATCTTAATTGTGGCAAACTCCAACACTACTTACAAGTTTCTTTAACTGTTTCTACGCATTCGTCTTTTGAACCCATTATTTTCGAGGCTTCGCCTTCGATTACGGTATTTATGGTGTTTTCCAGAGATGGGGTAGTTTCTCTTGATTTCCTGCTTCGTCTCCAACTCCACCATGAATAACCCGATTGCTGTTGTTCTTGTTTAGATTGTTTTTCTTTTTCTAAAGATTGTTGACTTTGTTCCTCGTGTTGGTGTGAGGAGGGCATGTGAAGTCCACACAATTGATCAATTGTTGACTAAAAAATATTATAATAAACTTACTAAGAATGCTAAATTGTTCATAAAGTCTTTATATTTAATTCATACAACTATGACAATTACATTACACTCACTTGAATGGTGTTCTTAAATGCAAGAAGTAAGAGAATATCGTTATTAAAAAATACATAATTAAAGGGTATGTCCGAATTTAAAGTACTAAATATTGTTCTTACTTGTGGCAGAGGTCTCCGATAAATAAAATAAGTTACAAGAATTGGAGCTGCTACTTTCCAGTTGAGGTACTTATTCTGGATTCGAATAACAATCTTAGGAGATTCAAGCAATTGAGGATTATTGCACAAATCACTAAATGGTACTAAATATTTTATAAACTGGTCTTCGGTTGGCTCAGGATCCCATCCACACAGCGATATTGAGACATCGTCCAAAAAATTTTTCTCACTGCATTAAAACCGTTAATTATAAAAAAGAAAATCTCCAACTGCGATAATTAAAACAAAAAATCTTAAAGAAGTAGTAAGGTAAAGAATTTACGGATAAAAAAGTTAATTTTGTTTACACTTACCCTTTACTTTGGTCTTCATAGTCTGAATCGATAGATTTGCACTGTTCGCCACTATTCGGACTTTGCGGGAGAGAGGGCCCATTCCCTGATTCACAATCCATGTCTGCATCTGATTTTAATAACGAATAACACCAAATGAAATAAATAGAAAAACAAGCATCAACGTAAGCGAACTAATAAAACAATCTACTACTTAATAATATGTTAAAAAAGATATTTAAATTTTCAGACTACTCTTGTACTCATTTATCAATAATTATAAACAATTTCTATGCTCTCCTTTTATAATAAATACCAAAAAAAAAGTACCAGAAATTTCGATATTCACTTATTAACATAATATTTCTAAAAAAATGAAAAGTACAAACGCAAATACGATAATATAAATGCAACCCATATAAACAAGCAAACATTTAAATCATATCATTTACCTGTTGGTTTTTTAGATGTCCCAACGTCTGACAAGTATAAGGCTGCCACTTCCGGTTTGATAGAACCTGAACTCAAGTCCGCAAGGTATATTCCGTCATTATTACTGCTTTTTCTTTGATGTTTCATGAATGAGAAAACACTACTTAACATGGACTGATGTTGAGATTTGGTATGTTCATCAGTCAAAGGGGATGACGTCGGAATCTTTGAACTAGGAAATTCACCCCAACCCCAACTCTGACCTTCGTTATCTTTGTCATCGTCTGTAAAAAAAAGAGAAAAGATTTGTCAAACAACAATTTTTTGGGTTTTGATTTATAATTCATACATAAAACTGTTTAATTGCCACAATATTCTAATTAAAAAAAACATATATTACGTAACATACTAAAGTAGTAATCGTTTTCTCTTTTTTTTTTAATTAAGTAACTATTAAGTCGATGATCCTTTTCACTCGAGATAATAAAATCATAATAACTTTTAAAAAGAATCAGCGTCTTATATGGTTGAGTAGTTTTTTTATGTAATACTTACAATGTTTATTTTTGGCAAATACTAAAAAGATAATTAATCAAAGAATGGATGACATTTAGACTTGGCAATGGTGCAGAAGTTAAGAGGCGGGTTCCAAGAAAACAAAATGAAATGAAAAATGATTATTCAATGAGTTTCAAAAGCAAAAAGTAAACAAATCGTAACTAATGGAAATTTTCTATATTAGCCATTTTTAAAAACTGACTCACCTTTGCGATTTTTAACTTCGAATTCAGTGTCAGACAGAACAGACTCGACATTAACAGGTGACAGGGGCCTCGAGTCGTTAATGCCTGTCGTCAATTCGGTGTCACTAAAGAAATGGAAATCGGGATCTAAAAGCTTCCTACTGGAATGATTAACGCTTTCTGGTTCCGATTCAGCTTTTAACGATTTCGTGAAAGACCCTTCACTGAAACAAAATGAAAAACATTTAATTTAAAATACAATATATCATTCAAATTCTCATCACGTATAAAAATCAATAAGGAATTAGCCACGACAATAATTTACTTATTATTAAATGACTTTGTAATAATAATGGGTTGACAATTTATTTGCAGAGTTCATAATACTACCGCTGTATTATTACCATTGTTTCTACATTTTACATTAATGGAACAAAACCAATTAACATTCTATATATTCTGGTAAACAATTGGGATCCGTCAAATGGGCATACACATCTGGTGGCAAAATTTATAACTCGAATGAGGGAAAAATTTACATAGGAACTGTGCACGCAAATTGTAAAATTGTTTATTAAAATAATAAAACACGTTAAAAAAGTAAAAATTTTTTTGATGATGAAGTCGACGAAGTTTTCTTCTAAAGTTATTAAATAAAATGTTAATATGTTCAGTGAAAAGCTGGAATAGCACTTCAGACATAGATCTTCACTCTTCACCTGCATTAACTACTTTCCAATAAAAACTAACCGTTTTATATATGTAAAAATATATTCGGAAAATTAGAGAAAAAAGTAAACTAATAGAAGCATGGATGAAAGCAGTAGGTATCAAAAAAGTGAATTCCAGAATAAAAATTTGTTCACACCATTTTAATGCACATGATTATATTTCAGCAAGTATTTACCATCAGCCATAACCTTAATATTTAAAACTAGAATCATACTAAAATCATAAAGTCAATGATATTGCTTAAATCACCCAGAATTTATATAACGTGAATCACTTTTTAAATCCGAAGTTTGTGAAAAGTAGGCAGTAAACTTAATTTAAAGGCTAGCTTCCGGATTTGTTCCTTCAACGAAATTTACTTTCCGAGGCTTTGTGTCAGCCCAATCACATATTATGTCAATACCTATCATTTTATCGTGATTTAAAAACTTGGAAATTGCAAGGTACACTATAGGAACTACGATAAATTTTCCCTAATCGGCGCCATGTTTTTCGGCTCCTCCCATTTGACGGATCCCAATTTCGTTAATGCAAAAAAATCAAATAAAAATTGAGGAAGCAGGTACTTACTCAACATCTTTAAGCTCAGGTTCAGAAATATTACTATCAAGAGAGCTTCTGTCAGTTGTCGAATCATAAGTTTTGCCATCGGTCCCGGTCCCGGTCCCGGTCCCAGTCCCATCTTGAATAGTGTCGCCCTCTCTCGATGTATCACAACTTGTGTTACTCGGTTTAATATTAGAGTGCTTCTTCTTTATAGAGGCCTTCTTCCGTCGTTTTTTCCTCGAACTTTTATTATCTGTTGTAGTAATTTCCGGTTTTTCGGGAGTTTTCGAAACAACAGGTACGGGCGGGACGTTTGTGATTTTTGGAGCAGTTACGCTATGTATCTCCTCCATGTCCAAACTGTCCATCCTAAATATTGTTTCGGACGTGTTTGTATTTTTATTTAAGTTCTCACAACTCAGTTTCGACGCCTGTAAGGAAATGGTGACATCTTCTGCAGAATTTTTTAATTCAATGTTGCCCAGATTTATTTGGCGTTTTATGAATTCTAATTCACGCGTTGTCTGGATGGCACCGTTATCTGCGGTGAAACGTCGTCTGGTGTAGTCGTTTACTTCATTTTCATAGATTTTTGGAGCTTGGTAACCCAGGTCCGAACTATTCCTTCTCAAACTCTGTAATAATTAAATAATTTACGTTTCTTTGAATGTATTTCAAGCTACTATTCTACCTTCGCCTTGTATACTTTTTCTAATTCCGACTCTGGGATCGGGGAGGTCGCCAAATGGTCTGGAATTTCATCGGTGTCTGAATCCAGAACTTCTTCAACGAAAAACGCCTCCCCACTCTCCCCCAATTTCATGTGAATGTCTACAGGTTCTCCATTGATTTCAATATCAACCTAAGTTAATAATAATAAGCAAGCATTAGTTCAAAAAACAACAATTAATAAACTTGAAATTATATAATAACAATAAATAAACGATTTTAAATTAATTATGCTTTAAGGTAAAAATTCCATCATCAAAATCGATTGAGAAAGTTCCATATGTTATAGAATTGATAAAAGTTCGATGAACTTGTTCATTTCCGCATACCAAAACCTGGCGCCAAATCAAACCGGTTTAATCTTAACTACAAACAGCCAATCGGATGCCTCGAAACAGTTTATAATAAAACCCTCGTCGTACTTCCACGTTAGTCACCCTTGCCAGTTAAGAGGACGCACTTCGCTGCATAATTTTATTGTTAAGTAAACCAAAAATTTACGCCAAATTTACNAAAATTAGCTGACCCCGCGAACTTCGTATCACTGGCGCTGCAAATGTTTCTCATAGATTCTGCCAATCTTGTGATACGGATGACTGATCGTCCCAATGATCTGGACCAACCAATGCGATAGTTATTGTCATTTTTTTCCCTATAATCTTGTTTACACTTCGATTTCAATTATTTTTTGTATATAAATATTTCAATATCATTTTTTTTCTCACTATTTTCCGTTGAATTTCTGTTCTGTATAAGCGTCCGTGACTTAAAGCTGTCAATTGCGGAAGACGACGGAGTCCCAAACCTAATTTATTTAAAAATTTATTTTCTGTGCCTTTCCTTTTTCATTAATTTTTCCCATACTTTAATAGTTATTCTGTTGTTCGGGGCGGAGACGAATCCAACAAATTAGAGACCATTAAAGTTGGTCCAGCCGTTATAGATGGTGTAAGTAACTCGACCTTGCTTTATGTATTTAGAAGATATATGAGTAAGGAATGTGTACTCTTTATTGATAATATCCGACTTTTTATATTATTATGCAGCAGAATTTTTCATTTTAAAGTAAATAAATAAAAACGTAATTAAACAACGAATTGGGGCAAACAAATGCGACCTACAATAATTTGAATAATGTAACGCCAAACATGACGCAATTTCTATTTTTCATTTTAAAGTAAAAACATAAAAACGTAATTAAACAACGAATTGGGGCAAACAAATGCGACCTACAATAATTTGAATAATGTAACGCCAAACATGAAATAATTGCGCATATACAACAACTAGCGACGTTTTGAAAATTTTGGCACGTATTTATCTTTACAGCCTTATTATACAACAAAAGAAATTGTGAAAATCAAAACAGATAAGTGGGTATTTAAATGTTGCTTTCCAATTCCTTCTTTTATTAAATTCAAGGCCTTTCAAATAAGTTAAATCATGCGAAATAAATACTCGCTTTATGCATACCTAGTCGGAAAATTTGCAAATAAAGACCTATACAAATGGTTTCTATTAGCACTATTAATACCGTACTTGTGTGGCTTAAATTTTGAAAATTCCACTTTAAAAAAATAGCATAACATTGTCTTTTTTTTTAATCTCAACATTACCAATTTTAAAATGAAATGATTATACTGTGAAATGACATTATTTAAAAAAGTTAAAAATTAGGAACTCTTAAATACGGTGAAAAGAATATTTTTAGATTTTTGATACGAATTTGTAAATAATTTTCAAAAAGTAGTCTAAATAAATGCCCAATTAACAATGTTACCCTCCCTTTATACTATACATTTTTTATTAGCATTTAAAAGTTTTAATTGTGAAAGAATGAAATCATTACTGAAAATCAATAATCGTAAGGCCCCGCTTAATGCAAATCGAAAAAACCTTCACCTTGTCCTTTCAGTACAAGGTCCACACTGTGATGAAAAGCAAATTCAGGGCCCACAACGAAAACTGTTTCAGATAAAAGCGGCAGTTATTTTAGTTAATGATAGTATCTGCCAACAAATGTCAAGTAACCTTCTGAAGGACGAAAATGCGTGTACAGAAAACGTATTTAGTATTTACATAGACATAATGGGCGTTTTAATGTTTGGGTTATTTAAAGGTAAGTCAATTTGGGTATATTTGGCACATCCTGTGTACAACAGCTGGACTATTACAGAAATTGAAAAAAAAAGAGATTAATAATTATTAATGACAGAAATAAAAATTATTTTGTCATGAATTGGTTCCTACAACTTGTGTCACCAGATCAAGAAGACTGGTTGACCTTATGGACAGAATTCCCCTCTATTTTGTATTCCCTCCCTTCTTTACTCATGCTTCTAATACATGTCTCTAATTGGTCATCCCATCTCTCCTTTTCTTTAGTGACATTAAAACCACTCTTTCTTAACCTTTCCTATTCACGGATTTCTTAGCATCCCCCTATAACACCACTTCTGCCACTTCTTTTTTTTCTTTTCTACCACGACCACCGTCATATTTTGCACTCGTACAGACCCTTGCTCCAACCTTCATATACCTTCAACAATCTTTTTCGAGTTTCTTAATTATGTAATTTATCGCAAACGAAGAATCATCTTCTATAATTAAAACTGTACTTAAAAAAGTAGTTTTGAACTTTAACAAACGATCTCCTTGTTATTAATTTATGTCCAGCGACTGTATTAAATTTACCTATTACTACATAACAAAATAATTCATTCATGTTACCTTAAAAGTCATTATTATAATCAAAATTAATATTTTCTCCTAATAAAACTTTTATGTAACTTCAATAAAAATAATGAAAGTCAATACGATAAAAGTTTACGCAACATGCAACAAGCAATAGTTTATTAATTTATAAACGAGAGGCAGAACAAAAAATGAATTATAACGATAGAAAATAATGTAAAAAAAATGTTTGAAAATACTTACAATTTTTTCTTTGCTCCTCAAGACCCCAATTTTTCCAAATCTGACATGAAACGGAGAACAAGTGTAGGTCCCATCGGGTTGTTCGACAACCACCACGTCGATGGCTCCGGTAAGGGTAGCGCCGTTTATATCATTGTAAAAATCTTTGAAATTTGAAATAACTTTTCCAATATAAGTCATTCCGTGCATTGTCACTAGATTATTAATAATATAACGTTCTAGTTCTTCCAACGACAAACTGTTTCTTTATCACTTTATTTCGACTTTCGCTATTTATTATATTAGAGATTAGACACACTTATTACGTGATATGTATCAAATTTTGCACTGTTTTTGTTTTATTTCTGCCCCACTTCCACTCAAGAAGACGTCAATTTTATTTAAATGTGGGGATTTTGTTTACACACTTAATCAATTACATATTATTTGCGGATCGGTAGAATTTATTTGCGATGTACCACAAAACAAATCTTCTACGTCCAGCTTTTGTAAAAACCGATAAAACCTAGAAAAAAACAAAACAAAATCAATATACGCAGTTGTTATTATTGTTAGTTGTAAACACTAGTACAGTAAGCAACTGTTAATAACAACGCACAATGAACTAATAAACAACTGTCTTTGTTATGCAAAAATTCTTTCATTTTTTTATCAATTAGAGCAATAAGAATAAACAAGTTATAATAATCATAATAATACTATCGCATTTTTCCATAAAAGAAATTTACAATTAGTAAGTCTAATACATGAATAGAATAAACATATAAAAAAAAAATAAAATATATACAGGGTGGTTCATAGGAAAATGGAACATGGAGCAACTGCATTTTTTAAATAATTCAATAGGAAAAACGTAATAAAAATCTTAGATAGTAAAAAATGCAACAAAACTACATACATAATATTAACAAAAAATAAAATAATTATTGTTTTATATTAACCA